CTTCTTGACTTGTTTTGATTTCATTTAAGGTCTTTCTTGTGATTAGCCTGGATAAGTCTTTGTAACAAGAATGATGATAATGAAACTCCTTGACTCTTACATCCTCCTTAGTCTCAAGACCAGAAAATTGAGCCATCACGTAAGTAACATCTTATACATATATACATCTTATACATATACAGCATTGTTTTTTCGAAGCTTTAGTCAAAAAATAAAATGCAAGTCAAATTAAGCACACTAAAATCATAAAATCAGATGAATCATGTGTATAAAATCAAAGATGACAGCAGAAATGACAACAATTTTGCTTAAATCTGGTCTGTAAAGTACCCTCCAATATGCAAAAATGTGTACATTCTATTTTTGCACTTTAATATATCTTTATGATGTCATGAACATTGCACTTTAACACATTTCAGAACAATATAAGCCCAATTTAGTTCGGATGATCTGATGTTGAAGGTTTTATTCTCATTTTAATGGATTTTTGGATATGTGTCTTCTGGTCTGCAAAATACACACTCATAAGTAATTCTGACAGATCCAATATTTCTTTTCTGAAACTTCATGTATGTATGCATGCTCTGGTATAAATAAATTGACAACAAACGATCAACCCCCACCCCCACCCCCGATGTTCCAACCCTGGAACCTGTATTATGTATAACAATTCAATTCTCATTTTTAATCTGGGACCATTAAACATGCAAATTATTTTCTGTGAATGAAAAAAAAACATCATAACTATCACAAACCTATAAAACAAACTAACAATACTATCGACTAGTATTGCATTATATGTCTGTCAGTCCTGTAGACTCTCCTGTGAAGTATAAAGCAACAACTTCACTGTGCTAAGCACTGCTGCTATGGTTTCTGTAGCAACTACATTTTTACTTGGTGGAGTGGCTAGCTCCACATTCAATAAGTTTTGCATTTAAAGTTGGCCTTCTCCTAGGTTGGTTGCCAATCAAATCTAGAAAGCCCTGTCTACCCTACTGATAAAACAATAGAAAGAGAAGAGATGGATTCATAACTTTTCAAAGGGATTTGTGCAAAAGCAAACAGCTGGAATTTGACATCTTCACTCAGATCCTAATTTCCATGCCAATAATTACTACATGATGTGCACATCCCACATAAACTAGAGGAATATTGAATATATGTTATGCTGCAATGTAAATTAAATATAGTACAATAAAAATCACCATTATATTCTGGACAACAAAATACCTTAACAAATGCTTTTATTTTGTCACTTTTCCCTTTTTTATGTGCCAACTCTCTCTCTCTTATTCACTTGCCTTTATTGATTATTTTCTTTTCCTTTATTCTCTTTATAAACAATATGGGTTTCATTCATATCTATCTATATATTTATCTCTCTCTCTTGCTCTCTCTCTCTCTCTCTCTCTCTCTCTATATATATATATATATATATATATATAGTGTCTAAAATATATATATATAAAGAACAAAAGCTGACTTGGCTTATTGTTTTGGACAAAAACTTGTCAGTTGATATTCTGGTTGTCCATCTGGAAGTAATAAAAAAAAATCATTAGTTTTCCAATTTGGACAGAGTCCAAAAATTATAGAAATGAGTTTTCTAGTCAATGAATATCTCACGTACAGCGCAGGAGTATATCTATCAGAAACTTCAATACTCTTTTATTGGTGAAAATTCAAAATTGATAAGCATGAACAAGTCAATAAAAAAAAAACAATAAAACTCTTCCTTCAAGTAGTCAGACTAGTGCATATGAGATGAAATCAATGACACTGTGTTAGCTTCTATAGACTTGTAATTTTTATTAAATAAACTAAAAAAATAGAAATATTGTGAAATAAAAATAAAATTTATCCCAAACCCCCAAAAATTATCCATGTTATTCATGTGGTATATATATATATGTCACTTAGTTGAATGGTGGTATATATATATATATATATATATATATATATATATATATTTGCCACTTAGCTGATTGATATTATATTCAGCACCACAACTCCAGAGTTTCGTAGACAGACCTTATAGTAAAGTAATCACTCTGTCCACTTGTTAGGAGGTATCAGTGCATGTGTGTGTCCATGTGCATGCATATGGAAAATAAAGCATAATATTCTCTCTTCTCTAAAAAGCATAATATTTCTCTCTTCTCTTCTTTTTAATATATACACTTTTCTCTCGTTGGAACCACTATAACCTCTTTCTTTTATATATATATATATATATATATATATATATATATATATGCACATATATGTGTATATATGTATACATTGTATGTATATGTTATTTTGATGGTCATAGAAAGGAACATATGTGATGCACATCAAGTGTAGTTTTCTTAAAATATTATGACTAATTTTTAATGGAGGGAGAGATGAATTATTGTAGATATTCTTTATTATATATGCACCACAGAAGTTCCTTTCTATGAGATTCAAAATAACATATACATACAATGCAATGGTGTTTCTATGGGTTCCATCCTGGGACCAATATTTAGCAACTTCTACATGACTAACCTTGAAAATAACATACTTAATACCACAAAAAAACCCTCCATTTAGCTAAGATATGTAGTCAAAAACATAGTCAAAATATGTGAACTACAAAAAACCTTTCAAAAAAATGAACTTTTATTTTGTTAGGCAATAAAATCTTGTTTCTTGATGTATTGATAGACACTAACAATGATACGTTTACTATCGCCTCATATAAAAAACATCTAACATAAACACATGCAGTCTCAACTAAAAATGTGAATGTCCTTACTATTTCAAAATAGGTATTATATGAAACTTAAACCATGCAAAAGCAAACTCTTCAATAAGAAAGATTTTCTACACTGAATTAAAAAATATAAACTGTCAATAATGACTTTTCTAATTACATAATTGATGAACATATTAGACAAGCTATTCGGAATATTAACCATAAATAAAAATGAACATAATACATCCTCAAATAACTTTAAGCATATCAAACAACTATATCATAATCAAATGCATTCTAACTATAAGCAGGAGAAAAAAATTCTAAAAAGACTCATAAACACTAATATATCCCCCACTGATCCAAGCAAAAAAATAAAATTAACTATATATTATACTAAATTTAATACAATCAACCTAGTCTTCCATAACAACTCTTCTCCATGAGAAATTTTGTGAAAGTTAGTATTTTAATTAATTTAGTTTTGGATTAATTTCTTTGTTATCTATTTTTAATAACATGAGGTCATGGATTTAACCATTTTCTTTCAATTTATAACATTTTTGTAGTCATGTATCTTGGTTTGAGAAAGTAGTAGTTCTTTCAGGAATGGGGATATTGGAAAAATCTGGGGTGCAAATTTATATTTTGATAAGATTCAATAGCAGAACTCGTGAAGATTTTTCTTCTAAGTAAGTTACTTTGCTTTCTCTTACATATATAATTAAACAAATTAAAATAAAATGTTCAAAAATCTATCCTCCAGATTCAAGTTTTATGCAAATTAATCTGCTCATCAGGGGTTAGTTAGAGAAACTGGTCTACTGATTTATCTAACACCTGATGAACAGATTACTTTCTGTGAAACATGAAGTCAGAAGATAAATTTGGAACTTTTTATTTGGTTTGCTATTGATTCTCTACTTCTTAATATTGAGCACTTTACTTACAAAGACTGCTTGCCATAAAATCATTATCCTCCAGTATATATATATATATATATATATATATATATATATATATATATATATTCGCTACTTCAACCATTGGTACAGTTGTTATCATGTTTGCCTTATACTGTAACTGTCCAGGTTGCAATTCTTGGTAGTGCATGCATGCCGCTAATGAGTCCCAAATATAGGACAAAATGGCCATCCAGTGCTTTCTGCATTCTGTTGAGGTTTCTTCTAGACTCTATGAATTACTTAATTATCATTATCTCAAATCCTCCTAATAATTTCTATCACTTATATATATATACAAGGATAAGTCAAAAATTATCCGCACTTTCCTCATAACATATCTTTAAGTTTGTCACACTGCCTTCTGCTCATGCATGCTTATAGTCGGTACTATTGTGATCACGTGATCGAAGTTTGAGTTTGATCATGCCAGTTTTCTTGCTGCTGTTACAGTGTAATTATGGCTGTTCTGCTAGCAGTGTGCACTCTAGGAGGGACAAAGAGCAGTGATCCAAATCTGTAGCAAACATGCTACCTCATCAATGATAACTAGCTGGTTCACTAGTATTATCTCTCAAGCTTTCTGAATCTTCTTGTCAATGGTGGAGGTAGATGAACGTCTTGCTCCTTCTCTGTGTGTGATGCTTTTCCATCACTTTTAAGCTTCTCAGTCCATTTATACACACTTTTATGCAATAGTGAACCGTAGCAGTATTGTGTTAAAAGCTTCCGATGAATTTCCATTCCTGACACACCTTCTGATCAGAGAAATCAGATCCCTGATTTTTGTTCTTCCAATCTTTTACAATGACAACCCTTATGCTGCATGACCCAAAATCTGTATATCATTTTCAGGACCCAATAAATTGAAATGCATTGTATTGGCATGATAAACCTGTAGAAGAAGGAAAGAACATGTTCTTAATTAGGGATCAATAACTTTGAAGAATGAAGGTAAGATTTTATACAAAGATAAGTATTGTTTGAACAACAATTCCAGTAAAAAAATATTGAAGAAGACTAAAATTACAACAATATTTATTGATTGATTTGTTTTTTACAATTTATCAACCTTTTGAAGTGTGTTTAAAACCAGAAAATATTTTATATTGTAAGAATTTTTTGAAGATAATAATGATTTACTGATGCAAGATAATTTTTTGAAGATAATAATGATTTACTGATTTACTAATTAACCCATAACTGGGGGATAAGAGGCAGATTCATATCTTTCCTAAGTTTTTTTTTAACCCGACTGGAATTGGAACTTGGCTCTCAAATCTTGAATTGTGAACCATTATGCATTACACCACCAGCACCTGGTATTCCCAAGCAATCACCCATCTAGGTATTAACCAGGCTCAACGTTGCTTAACTTCAGTGTTTGTATGAAAATTGGTGCTTCAACATGATATGACCATAAGCCGATTACAACAATAGCAATCAATTTTATTTAATAAATAACATAAATTGCTAGAAAAAGTTAAGTGTTCCATCTATTTTCTGCATCTAATTATATAAGTTAAAAGCAACCAAGTGTAGTAGCTGTTTGTTTCTCCATAAAGCCCCACTCCAATACTGCATGTCTGTGGCAAGGTGATACCTATTAGAAAGAAAACACATAAATCCATAAAAAATAAATTTTATAATCAATATTTCCTTTGTTATGAAGAACAATATGAGAAAAATATTAAATTAATTTGTGAAAAAATCCTTGATGACATTTTTTTTATTCATTTCACATTGAAAAAGTTTATTCATTTTTGTTACGATAAAGTTTAATGTTAAAATACTGCAAGTTCAAAGAAAATAAAATAAATGAACCTTACACTTACTTCAGTGTTTTAACAGATCACAACATCTATCAGAGAGATGAAATTTAAATTTTTATTATTGCATTATTCCAAAATTTTAACACATCAGCAGATAGCTATTAATGTCAACAACTGAGCACAAATATTAAATATTAATTAAAAATTAGTTATTAATGTATAATTTTAAATTAGTTATTAATGTATAATTTTAAATTTATTAATTAATAAAATCAGAAGAGTCAGAAGCACTTTTGTATCTGAATTTTCATAAGAATCTTTGTGTAGTTCTTTGCTTTAAAACCTTTTTCATCATTTTCACCAAAATTAAAATAGCCACAATTTAGAAGAAAAAACATGTTCTTTGCAACAGTCCTTGTTTTTGATAATCTTCTATCTCTAACAAAAGAGTTATTTCAAATATGGCCTCATGTGATATTATTTGTTTTATATGAGGCCTTTTCCATGGGATTCTAACAGATATTAAAAGATAAAAAACAACCATAAATACATAAAAAATGCATGTTTAGCTATTCGGGCTATGTTATTACTTAAACAATAATAATACTGAATAAATTTTTTTTAAACATTAAAGTATATTTAATCGCATCTCCCTAATAGCTGTCACGATGTGTAAATAATAAATTTAAGTTAATCTAAAGGTATAAAATAAAGATTTATAAATTACATAAGCCTATTCCAGCAATGAATTTTCACTATTGACTCACCCCCAATCAAAAGAGAGGCTTGTACACTTTCTAGGCCTCTCTTTGGATTTGTCTTGGTCTGTGAGTAAAAATATAACAGCAATATAAATTGACTGAAGTGAAAAAGATATTTTAGCTAACCGCTACTGATAAATATGTCCAAGGCTGGTTAATGCCGTTGAGTTATATATCCATTTTAGTAAAGATTTAGAAAGACTGAATGCAAAATATGTAAATTCATTAGAATATACATATTGTCATTTTGAAAGAAAATGAACCAACTACTGATAAATGAAACTAAATTCTGACTATTTATGAATGTGTACCAGCCAGACAGGTCAATGGGTAGGAGCCAGATAAAACTTTAGTCCCCTAAGGAGCAACCCTCAATGACAGAAAATCTGAAGTAGGCAACAGCTTTCCAGTTGCAAGATTCAACAGACCTATGCATTGAACTAATATGCAGTAATCAATGGCAGATGATAAACATCACAGTAAAATATGACAATTGGATCAACTAATTCTTGTTAGCCAGATACTATGGTTGCTAGTAATAATTTCAATCACTAGTACTGAATCCTATTTACAATGTAAGTATAGAATCAATTGAAAAAGAAGAAGGAAAAAAAACAGATCCAAAATGGATTTTGATTGAACATTGATATTTCTCTTTTCTGATTGGTTACAAAAGATGAATAACAAAAGATGAATAACAAAATTCAAATTCTTATAAGCAACGATATCCTCTGTTGGCACAGAATTTGTTTGGAACGTTGGAACGTGAACGTTACTTGCCATTTACTAGTTGTATTAGAGTTACCTTTCCTGACTTTTAGAAGACCATTTTTTGTTCCTGTCTAAAAAGATTTTTTGTTTTGTAGATATTTCTTCCAGAAAAGAACTTTGGATTTTTGAAATACTTTTTGTTAAGTTATATTTCTTATGGACTTCAGATGACATTTGCTTTTTTTTTCTGGTAGGACATAAGTCTTATTTGATATTTGTTTTTGTTTTACTCCATTTTTCTTTTGTATAGTTCATTTGTATTTTATTTTATTTCATTTATTTGAAGGAACCTTTTAAAGGAAATCATTTGACTTTTTGAATTAACCAATATTTAGTAGACAATCTTTTTTTCTTGTTTTATTTTCAGCTTCGGCAGTCATTTGCATTTCTTAGGGGTCTTACCACATAACCATTTTTTTGTTTAATGTATAGTTTATGTTATTTTTGTATTTTCTGACATTTAAATTTGACCAGCTTTCAGCGTTTTTTTATTTTGTTTATTGTTTTAGTCTGTAAGCAAACCTTTTTTATATTCAGTTTTATTTTTTATTATCATTAGCTTTCTTTTTGTATTTTTCTTCATCTGGTCAGACATAAGTCTTACCAGACAACTGTTTTTTTGGTTCATTTTATAGTCTACTTATTATTGGAATTGTGTGAACTTAAATAGTATTTGTTTCACCCTTTTTGAATTTTTCTTGTCAGTCTTTAAATTTTATTTTTTTCTTGTTTTTTTTGTTTAATTTTTTGACTGTTTCTTAATTTAAAGTTTTTATTTCTTGTTTAAATGAATTTTTCTAGCCTGTAGGCAAATCTCTTTTTTTAAAGCTTATTTGTCTTTTGTTGCTAATTATTTCTTTTTTCCTCTTACCCCCACTTCCCTTTTTTCTTATATATTTACAAGAAAAATTATTTTAGCTATCCTTTCAAAACACTAAATGGTTAACTCAATGCAGTCAGTTAAGAAATATTTGTTTTCTCTGAAAAAGGACCCGCCTAACAAAGATAGTTTTGAGGCATACCCAGTTTTGAAGGGTACTCCAAAAAAATATGGAGGCCAATAATAGCCAAGATGTGACAACCTTAAAAAGTACAGAGGTCAATAATGGCCAAAATACGAAGAACCCTGAATCAGACAAGATGAGTGACAATGAAGAGACTGGGGAATCACCCTGTTATCAATATAGCAGAGTTTTTGAAGTGTGCCAAGAGTTACATTCACCTTGTGGTAGAAGGTGGACTCTTGGAAGACCCCCAGGAACTAAAGAAGATTGAGAAACAAATAGTGTCAATCTTCATGGTGGACAAGTGTTTAAGCAAAATTTGTTGCTCCATCAAAGACATAGTGATAAAATCAGTGGAGACCCTGGATGGGGGGGGTTAAGCCGCAAAGAATTGTTAAGGATGCAGGCTACTTCATGTGGGACATATTGCTGCTCATGCCCAAAGATTGCATTAAAGTTTTGTATCACGATCTAATCACGAAAGATCTAATCCTTCAGACTGAACACAAAGGCAGACGTACAACCAGGGTGGCAATATTTGAGGTCCTTCTTCAGGTTATCAGGGAGCATCTGGCTGCATTCTTTTCATAGTATGATGATGGAATTTTTAAATAATGTTGGATCGTAAAGCCTTCTACTCCATTCCCAGCTGTCTGGAAGTAGAGGGCATGAAGTTGTCAGTCATTGTGGCCATCCATAAACCAACATATTGGTAATGTAGAGAGGTCGGTCACCTCTCCCCTTTCTGTCCAGAGAAGAAGGCCTCTGTAACTTGTGAAGGAAGGGCTCCAAGAACATACAGCAAAGGCAAAAGCAGACAGCCTTGGTGAATGGAGTGAGACAATACAAAAGGTTTCAATCTTACTCCATTCACTTCCACCAGCGCACAAGGGATCGCATACAGAAGTTGGATCTGGGAGTGAAAGTATGGCTCAAAACCGGTGGCTGAAAATACAACCTCCAGAAATCAATGGTCAACCCTATCAAAAGCCTTGGACTGATCTAAATTGATCAGCATGGAATCACTGTCGATTTGCTCAATGGCTAAAATGTTCAACTCTGTGTTTAACATCATCAAAGGCTGATAATTATCTATCCCATCTCCACCGTTTTTGTTCTTGCGAAGCAACTTAATCACACCACTGATGAAGTGTTGAGGTATAGACCCCTGCTTTATCCAGTTGTTGTAAATCAGTGCCAGCAAGGGGACAAAGACAGGTGGGTGAGTCTTGCGTGTTTGTGCCAAGTGAAATGTGCTGACTTGGAGTGGCATTTTGATGCTGGTTAGGCACTAAGGATTTTGGGATTGCTGGATTGAACATTGTTGGCATCCATTTACACTTGGTTTCTTAGGTAATGTTACAAAAATGTATTTAGTAAAGTTCACCATTATGTTGCCAGTTGCATATTTCATTTTTTACTACTTTGATCTTGTCAATGGTGAAATCATCTAAAGCTGAGAGCATTTTTGTTATGATCATATCTGGCTCTGCTGCTTTATTCCTGTTCATCTTCTCTAGTGTTGATCTTGCTTCAGATTTTGATATTTTTGGCCCTTTCATATTTTCAAATATTGTAGATATTTCCTTTGTATCGTGAAAAAGTTCTCTAATGTATTCAATTTACATTTGGAGTATTTTTTCCTTTATTTGTTGTCAGTGATGCTTCTTTGATTTTATAGAGACTGTTGATTGACTTACCTTTCATTCTGTTAATTCTTTTATTGTCATGCATAATTGCTGTATTTGTGTTGCTCATCCTTTCTATTTCTGCACACTTTTCATTGAGCCATTCCTCTTTACCTTGCCTACATCATAATTTTAATTTTCATTTCTGTGTTTAATGTTCTGTATTCTTTTCCATTCTTTGGCATTGTTTGTTATTGCTTTTGCATTATCTCTAGACTTTTTCTTGTTCCTTTTTTATCTTGTTTTTCTTGGGATGATCTCATTTGCCAAAATTACTAGTGTTTTTCTCAGCATGTTCAGCTTTGATTTTGTAGTCTCATTCAGGTTATATTCATTTACAACTCTTTTTTTGAATGTTTCCTTGCAACTTGGATCCTTTAAGAATCTGTTGTATTTCAGTTTAGATGTTGCTTTAGTCTTCTTTAGTTTTCATAGTATTACTTGATGTAGCACACGAATGGAAACTGGTCACTTCCACAGTCAGGACTTGGCTATGTTTTGCTGTATAGAACTGTATTTCTGAACCTTTTGTTGATAGTTACATAATCAATCTGTTTCTTTGTATCTTGTCCCAGGCTTCTACATGTCCACAGGCATTTTAAGTGTTCTTGGAAACAGATGTTGGCAATTATTTGATTGTTTGCTGTGCACAACTGGATTCATCTTTTGCAATGCTTGTTTTGGGATCCTAAGTCAAACTTATCAAATATTTTGCTTTCTTGTTCTTTTCCAACCTTAGTATTCAGGTCTAGCAGCTTACCAAGGAAAATGGAACCTTAGTACTTTTCAAAGTATTCAGCTTGGGATATTGCACACTTATACTAGTGTCCCTTGTATTTTTCAAAACAGTCTGAAAGTCCTCATTTGGAATTAACGTCAGCTGATTTGCCACACTCTCCTTAATCTTGTTCATGATCTGAAATCTACTCAAATTCAACAGCCATTTTAACTTTGAGAAAGAACAGCAGCTTCATGGAATCAAATTTTGACATGGGAAGTGTGTGTGTGTGTGTGTGTGTGTGTGTGTGTGTGTAGGGAATGACAGGCCTGAGTAAGATAATGTTTTGAATTAAAAATCAATTAGGCAGTTAAGACATTTAAAATGGCTGGAAAATTTCCGGACAGTCTGTAGAATTTCCGTATTATAATTTTTATACTATCTCCAAATAAAGAATTTATACTCCTCACAACTTCTGTTTCATTCTGGGCCAGTCTGATATACAATGTGAAAATATTTAGTTAAAGATTTCCATGTTTATGCAAAAATAAATAAAATGTAGTAAAAATTGAATGAAATAAAATAATTCTATTTGAAGAGACAATAAATAATATAGTGCATAAAAATAAAATATCAATTAAAAACATTATTTTCAAAACAATAAAACCACTGGACTTATAACAAAAATTATTAATGATGATGTCCCTCCCATTTACATGTAATATTATTACAGTATTATGAAGTTAGGTTTTATACAACTACTGGTAGTATATTTTGCATATAAGGTCCAATAAATGTTTTAGAGTAATTGTATGCTTAACAGCAAAGAAAAAAATGTATTCACTATATTAAGCTTCCAAATAAAAAATTTACCCAATGTAACTGAAATCTTTAAAAAACTGTAATGGAAATCCATGCAAATGTATGTACTGTGTAGATTTGTAATCTACCTAGTACATACAATTTCCTTACAGCATCACTAACAACAACAACACTAATAGTAATAATCATCATCATAATAATAATGCAGAAGTCAGAAACAGTAAGGTAAATGTTAGAAACTTTAGGGGACTTGTTGTCACTTGATTCCAAGCTATCGGCATTAGAGAATTTTGGTGCGAAGATACATTATGGAATAATGATGATGATACTATTTATTTACTTATGATATCACTAAATTACTTGTAAGAACTGAATACATTTTTAATCATGACACTTCTTAACTTACTTTGCTTTGCGTTTAAGAAACACTAAGTATTTTGGTTGATGGTTTAATTAATTCAAGATTTAAAAAACATACTATTCTTCAACATTTAATTCTTTATTTGAAAAAACAAACAAAACAATTCGCTATATAAATAAAATGACACCATACAACAGTTGTCATGTGATTTTTTAATGATAATAACAATATAACGTAAGATTATTGATTAACATCATGCCTGACAAAGCGATTTTAGATTCAGCTCAGAATATTGTGACTGTCGTAAATACTATAACGCCGGTGAAGATAAATATTATCATCCCTATCTTAGATTTTCCATAAATACAAAAATTAAAATATTTTTCTATGTTGTATTATATAAACTTATTATTTTATTCAGCATTACGTATGCCGTGAAATATGTCGGAGGGTCTGGTTTGCGGCAAGTGGCGTCTGTCGCGACGCTTGCTTCTCTTTCTTCTCCTTTCAAAAATGGTGAAGTGAAGAAGAAGACAACGCCCGGAGTTTTTTTTTTCCAAAAAAAGGGCCTTTCTTATATGTTTGTATAGTTGCATTCATATTGGTGACGCAGAGAAGGTGCAGCTGGGGTGCCGGGTAACACCTGAGGTGCTACCCTGGGTGGTTGAACCCGGCATGGAGCAGCTGGACGGAAGGGATAAGAAGAAGAAAGGACCTCAACATAACATCATCCCCACTGTCGGGTTGTTAGCAAGGTCAGGGACAGACGAGACGTGTACACATAACACCGTGGATATATAATAAATGTCCATTCTCTATAGCTTTTTATTTATTTACTTTTTATTCTAAATTCTGGTTGTAGGACAATACTTTGAAGCCATTTTTAATTGCAAATAAATCTTCCCATGCTTGATGATTGTTTTACTTTTTGTTGAATTCCAAATGTTTTCAAGTCTTACTTTTTTTTTTAAGTTTATCATTTTTTAAATTATTATTTTGCTTAGGCTCTTTCAGCAAAAAAGTTAACACTAAAACAGATTTTAAATATTAAATATTTTCTAATTAATTGCTTATCTCAAACAAAATTATTTTTGTTAATTACACGATAAAAAAAATGGCTAATTAATTTTTTTTGATTATATTTTTTTACTGCTTTAATTTTTTTGAAACTTACTATTGAAACTTCATTAATTAATGATTTAAAACGGATTTTAAAAAATAAAGTAAAATTTTCTTAATCTAAAAATAATACCAATTTTTAAAATGTAAATATTTACTTATTGGTAAATAAATAAATAATGTCCTCGCATTTGTTTTTTTTTTATTTTTTTTTTGCTTTAGTTTTCAAAATTAAAAGTCGATATTAAGTTGTTAAGTAATAAAAATTTAGGATTTATTATTTTTTTAGTATTTTTCTTTTCTTTTTTCCTATGACTATAAAAGTGAATCATCACTTCGTTCAACTGTATTTTGCGATCAGACACATTTTGATATTTTATTTAACTAACAATCTGATCTTTAAATTTTCAGAGCATTGAAAAAATTTGTTTTGCTTTGCTTGATTTTTTAAAGTAAAAAATATAATTTTTACGTATGATTTTATTTTTCTTTTCTAAAGTTTCATTTGTGTTCCGATTTTACTGTATTTTATTTTAAATTTTAATTTTACATTATCCAGATATATCTATTTTATTTTAATTTTTTTTATTATTGATTTAATCTTCTTCAGTTAAGTTTATTTCTTTAAAATCCGTTCATTATTTTAAAAACCATCTGCCGTCCTATAGTTCGCTTTTAAAAAGTTCAAGCATTTTTTTATTTTTATTTTTTATCCTCAAAACTACAGTACAATTGCTTTTATTTGTTAATTTCTGTTAAAATGTGAATCTTCATTCAGTAAATAAATTAAAAAAAAAAAACTCAACTTTTAATACTACACATTTTTAAAATACAGACCATAACTAAAAAAAAAACTCAATTTTGTTTTGTTTGTATACCAAACTCTTCTGTCGTTATACGTAACTTGTAAAATGACTGCTTTTTTTTTTGCTTAATGTTTTGATTGCTGTCCCAGATTTCATTTCCAATGAAAGAAAAGCTTTATTTCAACATTTAATGCATTATAGTGTATTTTTTAAAACTTTGTTTTCACATTAATAAAGTCACGATACTTGGTAATATTCAAAATCTTAAACAACAAGCAACAGGTTGACGCTTCTCGACAACAAATCCTTACTTTTTCTCAAAAAATTCTTACTTGCCTAACTCAAGAAACAAAATTGGGTTTTAAATGTCATCGAATTCGCCGAGCCTCATATTGTAAATCACGCCTGGTCTCAAAAATTTGAATAAAATTGTCCAAATCTACATAAAAAAAAAATTTTTTTCAATTATTAAAATCGGAAATTGCCTCCTAAAACCTTTCCTGATTTTTCTTGCTTAGCTTATAGTAGTTTTTTTTTTAAATTTCTATTTAGTTTAATTTGAAATATTCTCCATTCTTCAATGATTTATCCTCAAAATAAAAATTTAAAAAAAAAATTACTAATACTTAAAAAAAAAAAAAAATTGCAGCATAAGTTATGGAGAATAAGAATAATTTCACATTTTATAAAAGAATATTTTTAGATTTTTTTCTATTCTTATTTCACTCTAAATAAAGGTATTAAAATTTAATAACCTAATAATTAAATTAAATTTAAATAATTTTTTTTACTATTACCGAACAATAACTTAAATAATTGTTATTTTGCAGAGTGTGGATATTGCTACGATTTTTCTTCTAAATTAGAAGATTATGAAATTTAACTTAAATATTTTAAAATATTTTTTGATAAGGCTTAAATTAAAATAAAAATAATATTTTAATGTCCAAAATGAGTATAAAGAATGTGGACAATGTCAGCAAAAATGGTTCCATTTTCATCCAATTGAAGATAATATTTTTGTATTAAGTTTTCTAAATAGATGGGTATTATTTGTATATCTATTAATTAAGTGTAATAGATATGCAAATAATACCCATCTATTTAGAAACAGTGTTCATTGAGAACAGTATCCTAAGTTGAAAGAAGGAATTTGGTATCATAGATGCTTATCTAACATGAATGCTATTATTTTATGTATTTAGTGACTCAAAGAAATTCTAATTGTTTATATATAACAATTTTTCCCATTAATTTGAATGCTTAAAATTACTTTTAACAGAAATAAATAGTGTAGATCTTTAGAGTGATATGTAAAATCTTATTAGCCTGTATTTTGGCTAAACTTGAAGTATTCAATGTTTTGTTCTCTAATTCAAAAAATTCTTCCAATAAATCTACATATAATATTTCATGAAAAATAATGTCATTTCCAAGTTTTCAATATTGCAAGTGTATGTGCGTGCGGGGGGGGGTCCTTTCATTTGAAGGTGAGATTGTTGATTTATAATTAATCATTGTTAGTAATCTTGGTAATTTTTACTTGGTCCTATAATCAAAATATTTCTTTCTTTTTTTAATTAAAATAAATGTGTATGAAAATATAATTCCAACATTTTAAGACCAGTAAACCATTTTGTATTACTTTGCAATTGGTATATCATCTTTCTTTACTAATGAGATGAATGTACATTGTTGTTTTGTCTATCCCTCATTATTATCAAGGTATTTTTTTTTATTCTTCCTTCCAAGACATCAAGAATTAAGAAAACAATATAACATCTCACTGAATTTTTCTATTAAAGACCCAAGGTACATAATGCAGAGAAGGACAGTCATTTAGCTGCCCCTGCTGCAAATCGCTGCCTCTCCTTGGAACCAGTCTGCCCTGCCAAATCCCAAAACAAGCATAAATATCGACAGACATCCATCAATAAGTAAGTTGAGTATGTTTGATTAATTTCTATAGGGTGAATAATCTCATGTCATTTTTATAAATATTCTGTCAAAGCAACTCTTACCACTTAAATATCAGCATCATCATGATGGTATTGAAGTAATGGATTTACTCTAATGGACAAGCAGGTGTGACATTGATACCTGATCCTTGAATCAAACATTAATAAACCACGTTTATAGTGACAAGAATACTTTTTTAAAAAATCAATTTTTACCATATGAAGTATGATGAGCTGGTCTTAGCTGAAAGTAATTTTGAGTTTACCATAATTCTACAAAGAATTTATTCAAGGCAAAAAATGGGTGGCAGATCATTTTGCTAAAGTTTCTCAACTGTGATATTTTATAATAAAAGCCACATTTGATATTGTGTATTTAAAACTAATTAAAACATTCAGTATTCTGATTCCTTCCAGATATATAAAACACAAACTTTGAATCTTATTTGTTATTAAGAGAAAACAAGACGGGGGTGGCATTTTGGCTTTTTCTGGGTTTTTTTCTTTTGTTTATGGTAAATCTCCATCATCCTAGCACTTTAGACTGAACCACAAATCTGACACTGCCCATAAATGTAAAATCCATGTTACTGCTTGTTTTAAAATAAGTAGATTTCTTTTAACAAATGCTTTATAGAAACATTACTTGATGTATTTCCAAAAGATGTTTTTCAAGTTAATCTTAATTGTATAAACATTTTGGCAATGTATGAAATATCAAATAAACAAACCAAATGCCCCATAATTAAATACATTCAAAGTTAGGAAATCTAATATTAATTTTTTTTTTTGTTTCACTTTCATCAAATGTATTTATTATGTTTCCATAAAGATATTCAAAAAAATCTTTTGTGATAACTTAAGTCATTTTTGCTTGTTCCACTTGACAAATTGGTCAAAAATTGCTCATTCTTTGAACTGTACTTTTCATTTTTTTTCTTCTACAATTTTTTCATCTTTAATGTAAAAGAGACATTTTTCATTTTTGCCTTTGCATTCTCAATCTTAAATACTAAACAGAAAATCACAAACAAAACCTGATAAAGCATTAATGTATTTACACAATTTGATGTCTTTGTAGACTGTGAGAAGTTACATCTTACCAAATAGTAACCAAGACAGATATTGAATAATTCATGCAAATATGAAATAATATGTGGAGAATTGCATGAAATATCAAGATTAAAACCTTTTAAGGTCATTTCTTAAATACGTATATGCTGATTGAACTCAGAAGATAACAGACTAAATTATGAGAAAACTTATTAGGCATGGATAGCTATTTTTCCATTCACATCAGGTGATTGTACTGGATTGTTCCTGTGCTTGATGTTTCTGGGACGGATTTGTTTTCTGCATATCATACAACTACTACTAACTATAATAAAAATAAGTTATTTTATATAAATTCTTTCACCATGTTAATGGTTTAGCTCTTCTTGTCTGTTGCCTACATGCATTCTAATTGTTCTTTGTTTTAACCATTATGTCCTAATATGTACACTGATCAAATTAACTTGCCATTTTCTTTATGCAGTTTGCCTGATGAAATTCTGCTCAAAATTTTCAAAACTTTGCCTATCCTTGATCTGCTGACTTGTTCTGTTGTTAACAAACATTGGTGTGCACTTGCCAGAGACAAGTAAGTTAATGAATTTATTTTTCTTTAAATATAAAACTGATATCTTAGCTGCACCTGAGATGTTAGCTTTATAGAAGTTTAAATAAGTAGGACTGTACAGGCATGTTCAATAATTAGTGTTACAAAGCTTTTTGTTCATCTTTATTAAACAAAACAATTTGTAAATATTTTACAAAGCAGAAACCAAAGCTAAATGTCAAAAACTTATTTGATACAGTATCTATTCAATATGCCCTCCTTCTATGTCAATAACTTATTGTAGATGCTTGGCAAATGACTCGCATGAGGCATAGATAGCATTTTGGGGGATTTTGTTTCTTTCAAGATAGCGAGCATCAAAGAAGAAATTAAATGAACAATTGAGCTGTTGAGGAACATTCAGCTTGTTTTGAGAAATCTGATACAAATAAATATTGTAAAAACTTTTTATTTTGTTTATACTTGCACTTAAGAACATACATTGAATTTATCTGAGACACCTCATAAATGGCTTGATTTTTCTTTTATTGTCAAGCTTTCTTATCTATAATCATTGTATGGAAAAATTTACCCTATATACTTGTATATAGTGTGACCCCTGGATTTTTTTTTGTTACATGAATTGTAACCCTCTCCAGAAAAAATTTACCTGCGTATAATGTAATTGGTTGCCAAAAATGAATAATTTTCAACTCTTCCAAAAAATTACCTGTGTATAGTGTGACCCTCTATTTTTGTGTAAAATAACTGATCATAATAATTGCTCTATACTTGAGTATTTATGGTAATTGCTTTTTAGCCTCATTTGATCAGAAAGTCACTTCAGTAAAAAGAATTTAAAAAAAATGGATATTAAAAAAATTTTCCAAAGCTTTTTGAAATTCAAAGAATAAAAACAAAAGTATTGTTTATATTGATGGATTCATTCAGAATTACCATTTATTACTTTATTAATGAAAAAAATCTATGCATTCATTTATAATAAAAATACAGAATTGTATAGAGATTTTTAAATTTTCTTTTACTAAAGGGGAAAAGTGCAATAAAAATAACCAAGTGATTTCTTTTAATGAAGCAGATTGAACAATAGGAGTAAAAGAGATGAACATTTGAACATTTATTGTTTCAGTTAAAAAAACAAACTAGTGTATATCACTACCACTGTATGCAGTGGCATAGCTAGGGGTGGCGAGACAGAGGGAGCAGACCACACCAGGCAACACTTTTTGTTTGTGGTGAGTTTTCAGAAAAGAAAAAACAATAGCATAATTTCAATAATTTTTGCAAAAAAAGCAACAATAAGGAAGATAATAGGGTTCAAATGAAGCCAATTTGTCTTTGATATGTCTAGCTCAAAACCAGCTAACAACAAAAAAAATTGTCTCCAAAACATGCTGTCAGCTGGTAGGGATAAACCCTACTTACAAGACGTGAGCAAAAGGTATGAAAAAAATTTGAACATTTTTAAAGGGCTTGGTCTGTGGTTGGATTAAGTGAATTTAGTGAATCCACATTTTCACACCTATGTGAGAAGTACAGACTTTTGGCATCAGTTCTTTGATTTTGATTTTTCATGTCTGTGAGCTGTTAGTGAAAAAAAAATTAAATAAATGAACCAATTGTTTTTTTACCTTATCATAGGCCTAGCTTTAATATGGATATAAAATCATTACTTTTCATAAATTATAAAACAGAAATAATTCCAATGCTTTAAAGGATATCACATGCATTCCAATTTTTTCTGGAAATATCGAATGAAAATTTAAAAGAAAATTGAAAATTAATATATTTTTTTTAAATGCAGAAACTTTATTTAAAGTCCAAAAATAGGCATTTTTTCAATTTACAAGTTTTCACAGTAGTAAAACAATGCAATGTTTTATTTTTTTGTTTAGATAGTTGAAGTTTTATTAAGCAAAATAGACTAAGAATTAAAAGTATGACAACATTTATTTCAGTTTTTAAAAGTGAAATTAATTTTATCGGACTTTTAATTCTTAGTCTATTACTTTGCTAATAATAACTTCAACTACATAAAACAAAATAATTTAAAAAGACATTGCATTTTTTTTACATTGTTAAAAGAAAACTGAACTGTGTTTCTGTTAATGTGACATTTAATTTATGACTTATCACTTGTTAGAATTGAAATAAATATTAAAAAAACTGATAAATTATGAATTAACAGTACAATGTGTTTTTTTGTTTTTTATTTTTAAATAAAACAAAGGGTATAAACAAGTTATCTTTCAATATCGTAAAAGGCTTTCCTGATTTAGAAAAAAAAGAAATAATGTCTTTGTTTTGTTTACATATCCCCAGTTTTATTTTTTAAAAAATAAATAAACACAATTGTACTTTCATTTCATAGTTTATCAGTGAGGAGTTATAAATGCCACATTAGCAGAAACATGGGAAAAACTGGCATCATATAGGCATTAGATTCTGAGAAATGGATAAAAATATTAAAATTGATGGTTGTATGAATAATTTTGTCATTGACTCTCTCTCTCTCTCTCTCTCTATATATATATATATATATATATATATATATATATATATATATATATATATATTCCTTCTACGGAAGGGTGTCAAACTTGACGGTCACCCTGGGTGGCAAAAACAGTAGCTACTCCGCTGACTGTATGATATGGTATAGAGTGTTTCAGTTTTGGAAAATAACATTTTAACAGCTTTGGAATTTTTTTGTTTTGAGGAATTAACCATAATTTAGCAAATTTCCTCAAGAGACACAATGTTATATTTCTTCCATTGCTCTTTTTGTCATTTTCTAACTCAATAGGTGGAATAATAAAAAGTACCAATTTCTCAAACCACAGTAATAAATTCCAAAGTAACTTTTGTTATAAGATTTGAAGACCTTTAACATTTGTAGTCTTCTTAAATCAATTCATTGCATTTAAAACTGAACAGTTAAGGCAGTGTGTAGATTCCTATCTATTTATGATTGAAACTTGAAGTGCCGAAGAAATGATTGCAATATTCATTTTAAATGGGATTTGTACAGAATGATTTGAAGTTTGATACTCTTTTAAATGTAGATTCTGCTTTTCAACTGAAAAGAAAACATTTTATTCTTATGCATCAACAATAAACTCTTCAGAAAATTTTAAAAATTTCATTATTTCTCTTTGACTTGATGAAAATTAATTGTTACATAATATGCTAACAGAAAATAAAATTGCAACAGCCTGAAAGATGATGCTAATTTTGATCTGGATATGGAGCAGTAGATATTCTGATAAAATTTTCCAATCTCTCTTTTGATATAGTAAAACTCATACTTGAGCACATTCTTTCAACATTAGATGATAATGCATGTCGCAATAGGGTTCAGTTTGGTGAAAGAGTAGGTGTCATGCCACAGAAATGCAAATGTGTACCTTTGTTGAATTAGAGCAATTTGGGAGGGGTCAGATTGTGGGCTTTTAAGAATTTGGAGGTTGTTTTGGAGAATTAATCTACATGCTAGACATGGCAGTAGGGAGCAGATTAAAATTTCTTTATCTCTATACTAGGTTCTTGGTGGCTATATAGTAGAGATATTCATCAAGATTAATGCTTTGTGAGGGAAGTAGTAACAGATCACATAGTATCCACAACATAGAATTAGTGTAGTGCCCACAGGATCACATAGTGTCAACTTGAACTGTTGGGTATTGTTTACTAGCAGCAGCACTATGAGCACTTGTGCCTCTAGAAAGACTCATCTCCAGTGGTATCACGGCATAGATCACTAGATAAATCAAATAACAGTCTGTGGTGTTCATGGTTCTTTACATGTGCAGTGTAGACCTGGGGAGTGACTTCTTCCTCACTCACAATTGCCATAAGTTACAGCACTTGTTTTGATGTTTGTAAAGGACATATTGAAGTTCCCCATGTATATCATTCAACCCATTCTGCTGCCATTTCTGCAACAAGAAAGTGATGCCCATGCTATTCAAAATGCTCGGTAAGATTTTCAACAACTCCCCTGGTCAGCATAATCACCAGACTTGTCCCCCATTGAACATGCATTATAGCAAGGGTCAGCAACACGTGGCATGCCAAGCAATTTCTAATGGCATGCAGCTGCAAATGACATCATGATATTTGAACCAATAACTACTACAACACAAAGAAGATATTTAACTGTTTCAAATCTTCTCACTTGTTTGACTCCCATTAATAATAAAAACTTTAAAAAAATAATTTAAAAAAAGTTTATTTCTATTAATGTGGTTTACATATTATTGTATATATTACTATATAAAATATATTATAGAACAGGTATATTGACCTTGACTTGTATAAAAATATGTATTCTGTTAGCACACTGAATGATTTTAAAACCCTAAGTCGGCACATAGCAAAAGGTTGCCGACCCCTGCATTATAGGATGATGTCCAGTTAGCCCACCTACAACTCTTGATGTATTAGGTCACCAGGTGCAAGAGGCATGGAATAATGGATGGTATTTGCCATCTGTACAATTGTATGCATGTGAGAGCACAGTCCTGTCTTAACATTTTTTTTAATCACTAGCAGCCATACCCAGCTGGTCAATCAAAAAAAGCATTCAATTAGCAAAAACAGCATCATGTTTAGATGTAAATGAGTCTATCTTCTTCAATTACTTTAAAGTACTTTCATTAAAAAACATTTTGAATTAATGCAGTTACTGATATAACAGAAATGTACTTATTCAATCGAAGTTAGCCAAGGACATGAAGGGGTAAAACAGACAACATGAAGACCCACATCAGACCACAATTATTTTGGAGTTTTTTTTGAAATTCAATTTGTCAGTGTGTTACCAGGGATATAAAAGCAGATAAATTTATAAAGCAATAGTTAAGTTTGATGGAAATTGGTTGAAAGATCAATAAAAAAATAAGAAAGAAACCAGTAAAAATCGCCATTTTTTGTTATTTATGAAGGTTTTCACTATATGGGTGGACTCAATTAACAAGTTAAATGACTGTTAAACAATCAACTTATTGTTGGCTACAATTGAGTGAAGTTTGTATTAGATTGCTTGAGGGAGTTTTTAGTTTAAAATTTGTCTTGAAATCGATTTTTCGTTTTTTGCAGTTTTTCACTAAATGCAGTGGTGTAAAAATAAAAATGAGGTATCATTGAGCACATCATAATGTAAATAACATACATACTGAGTTTGAATGAAATCTGAGGAAAAAAGTTGAATTTATTGATTTTTGATTGGCTTTATCAATTATTGATTTTTTAAAAATTATCAATTTTTTTATGCTAAGAACCTATCTCTTACATTGTACAATGTATGTGCCAAGTTTGGTCAAAATCTCGAGTTAAAAGGTATCACACAGACAGACACACAGACATCCTCTGTTTTATATATATAGATTTCACTCCAAGCAAGATGATAATGCCACTAGGATTCAAGGTGTTACTGGGAGTGAAAAAGAATGAGATGATTTTAGTGAGGATAAGTGAGGAGGAAAGACAATAAAAGAACAGAATTTAGGAAAACAGAAGATGGCAATTGGCATTACATCTCAATTTTTGAAGATTGTGCAGGGAAGTAAGAAATTGGGAGTTCTACAGTTGAGAAGTGCAAGAAAATAAACTATTAGAAAAGAACATACAGATGCATCTAGCTAGTTCAACAGTAATCCATGTGGAGTATACAGTGTATTAATACTGAGGTCTGAGTGCTGTTGACACACTCCCTAATTTACTACTTGTTCATATATTGATCTGTTTATGCAATCATTTACTGTAACCCAGCTCTATTACCTGTATGTTTGAACTTGAGTAAAATGTAACATGCGTGTTGTAGATTTTTTTTGTTTTTTTTGGCAATCTATTTAGAATCAATAAACACACTTTATTTTACAACTTGTTTCTATTCTCTTTATAAAAATTCATGCTTAACCATTTTTATTGTTCTGTATAGAAGAGATGTGATCATTTTCTTTTTTTTCCTTTTATTCTCCTAGTTTGATTTGGCAAGACATCTATTGTCGTTATGTGAGCACATGTGATAAGAAAGAAACTGGATTACATCAGGGACATGGTTACTGGAAGAAACTTTGCATCAGCAAGTGAGTGTTGTTTTTTTTTTCTTTTATGTAACACCTTTCTCTACAACAGAGAAAATTGTACATTATTTACATTATTCGGACTATTGTCATCTTTGTCGCCATATTTATTACAACATTTTGGCCATTGTATGCTCCAGCCTTCTTCAGGTAGTTGGAATGTCAAACTGAACCCTTTATTTCGCTCACTGGCACAGTTGATAAAGGCGTTGGTTAGATCCAGTGACAGAACCCAAAGAGTGTGAGTTCAGTACCCAGCTAAGGCAGTGGAGAACTTTCAGAGGGAAAATTAACAGGAGATAACTGATAACTGACATCCATTAAACATGGCACTTGGAACTAGAACAGTCTACCCCAGTGAGTGAAATAAAGGGTTCAGTTCGACATTCCAACCACCTGAAGAAGGCCAGAGCATACAACGGCCGAAACGTTGTAATAAATATGGCGACAAAGATGAGGACAATAGTCCAAATAATGTAAATAATGTACATAATACCTCATCTCAGAAATATAGACAGAGAAAATTGTATAATTAATGTAAAATTTGGACATGAGTTAACTTTTTTTGTAAAAATTTGGATTGGATTGTAAATAATATCACAGTGCCAAAGGATTGTATCAATCTTTTTAATGTATAAAAAAAATAATATTCACAATAACTTAAGGTAATTGAAATTTCATTTGAATAATTTCATTGATAATAAAAAGTGTATAAATTTGAACAGTTGGTTATCACTGCTCAACAGATTGCCTGATTGTTGAAATGCTATAGGATGTAAGCACAACAAAAAAATAGAGGCACTTTTACATCTGAAATATTCAGTCATAAATTTCATTGTAAACTTGACTCTTGATCAGTGTGGTTATTTGGTATTTCTAGTTTATTTATTTAAAAGACTAACAATACATTTAAGTTGTACAAAAAATGCATTGAATCTTATTGAAGATTATTTTTGTAAAATATTAACTATTCTGTGTTGAATGATAACTGTAGCATAGCATCCATGATCCTTTTAATTGTGACATGTATGAAGCTCTATACCATAGCATGTTTATCCTGTAGACAAGTAATAGATTTAATGGTAATTTTTTTTTCAATCATTTCAACCCAAGCAAGACAATAAAGCTACTAAGACACAAGGGCTAACTGAGTGTGAAAGAATATGAGAAAAAAAAACATTATTAAGAAGAGAGAGAACAAGAAAAGATCAGGAATTAAGAAAATAGAAGATCGTGATTGACATTGCATTTACATTTTTCAAGGTCAAAGTTGACTGGAAATCAAGAAGTCGGAAAAGAGTTCCACAAGCGAGATGTGCAAAAAAGAAGCTACTAGCATAGGACTTATGGTTACATCTAGCTATTTCAATTGTAAAATGATGAGACCTTGCTGCCAATCTAGTACTGCACTTCAATTCATAAAGTCTAGTTACCATAGAGGAAGTTTCATCAGAACAATTACCATAAAAATATTTATAGATAAGGCACGGGAAACTATGTTATGGTGGAGGTAAAGTGACTTGAAGTCAAGATGCTAAGTCAGTACAAATAACATTGCAGATTCTTCTTTGTATTTTATCAAGAATCTCTAAAAAAAATTGTCTAGCATGACACATGGAACCAATTTTCCTAACAGCAGACCTAACAATTGATTCAATGTAATCTTTCCACTTCAAGTATGATCAGTTATTGTTTAATAAAAATAAGGTAGTTTTTGTTTTGTATGGCAGTCATTTTTTCTTAAACCTTTTATGAGATTTTGGCTGAAACTCATTACAGAAAATACAAAATGATCTTTATTATATTTTATAATAAAAATTAACAAATTGTAATAAAATTTGACCAGACGTCTCTAATGAGTTTTTCTTCAGAAATATGAATTGGTAAATTTTTATGGTGTTTTCAAATGTGCACTTCTTTTTTTCAGCTTTTCACAAAAATTAAACATTTTACAGCTGAGTAAACTTTATTTTAAATATGAAATTTTTTTGTTTATTTCTTAGAACTGTTGAGCTGAGAAATCGCAAGGTTCTATCTCTGTTGAGAAAAGTACATCTCTACACAGGCTTAGTGAAAAATACTGAAGCTGCTATCAGGTAAGTAAATGTTTATCTTCATATCAACTTTTCTATAGATATTAATTCAGCATTTTTTTAAAAAGTAAACTATGAAACTTGCTTTGAATTTGTTTATATTCTTCAGCTGTTAAAGATAGCACTTTCTATTTTAATTAACTTTGAAAAGTTTAAAGAGCATTGAGGCCACATGATTAACAATTTAATTGCTATGGCCCAGTGGATTAAAGTGTTGATTAAAGCATATTTGCTTTCTGGCTGATGTGAGTTCAATCCTTGGGTCATGTAGTGCTGCAAAGCCATATACTCTGATTTAATGGAGGAAACTGACAAATGATACGAAGCTGAATAGTTTGGCGAGTATTAACTGACACGAGTTATCTCCCCTAAGCATTGAAATAAAGGATTCAGTTCAAAATTTTAAGATTGGCGAGTATAAAAACGAAGACGAATATATTAATCTGAATGTAAAGGCATACAATAGTGATAATTGCTCATTTAAAAAATTCCAATATAAACTCAATTACTAAAAGAATATCTGTTTACAAAATCAAGGTTCTTCAATTTTGGCAGAAATAGTCAATAGTGAATAAGTTGTTTATAGAAGGTAAATTAGAAAAGTGCTGACATGTCATGTCTTTGAATATAATCTAATAATTAAGATGATAGGCTAATGAACCTCACAGAATCTTGAATTATTATGTCTTTTTTAATTAACACCCTTTGTATTTACACAGCCCAAAAAAAAAATGAAAAGCAAAAGTTGTTTTATTTCCCTTATTGAGTAACATATTTAATGATGAAAATCTGTAAATATAATTAAAAACAACTGGTAACTTAATGAGTTTAAAAAAAAGAACAAAGATTAGTGATATTCTGTTTTTTCTTTTTCCATAAATCATCCGGGCCTAATTATCCAAGAGTGATATTTTTCAAAATATTCTTTTCATCTTAGAGAAAGATATTTTCAGACATTTTTCATGTTAATGACGAGCTCAGTATTCATCAATGCACTTGGCTACAGATTCAATGATCTCATGGTTAATACTGTAACTCCTGTCTGAGTGTTAAATTATCATATTTTTAAAAAAGGTAGCCTTTTCTATATTAATTACTGATTATGATGGGAAAAAATTCAGAACCTAAGAAGAAAAAATATAAAGTAAATCATAAATCCTCCCCATATATATATATATATATATATATATATATATATATATATATATATATATATATATATGCTCCTCTTAAGGTCAAGTACTTTTACATTTAATTTAATACGTGAACATGGATAGAATTGATTTTGGAATTTCACTAAAAAAACATTCCCATCACAAATGGGAATATTTCGAGAAATTGGTCCTAAATACTGAAGATTTAATATGAAGGATGATATGGAAAGCTTACTTCTTTCTTAAGAACTGGGATGTTTTGAATACAATGAATACATGTGGATTTAAGAATTTCAAAACTGCACCTTTCATTGACCATTTACACGGCTTTGAGATGTATCTTTTAAATATTATTAACAACATTACTTTTCATAAACACAAAAACCAATTTCAGAAACATTTGGCTACTATTGGTTAAGGATATTAATAAATCTGATAAAACCACAAACTTTTATAAATTTTATCCTAAGGATTATATGACTATAGCAAAGAAAATGGCGACTTACCATGTCAAACCAAGCGACAGCGCATCGCGTGTATTCTATGACGGAAAATGTGGCAAAAAAGAAAATTACTTACCAAACAAAAGGGCAAGTATTCCGCATGACATGCTGAAGATGGAATATTTGAATTAAAAAAAAAGTCCGTCGCAGGAGTCTCTATAAAAGTATTTTGATATCCAAATTACTGAACATCTTCTCCCAGCTGTTGACGAATGGAAAAAATTGTTCGGCGATAAAAACAGTTGGTGTTCTCGAATTGTGGGGAAAAAAGAAAAAGTCAGCTATTTTGGCTGCCACGGCTGTTGGAGAGTGAGTTATTTTTCTGACTGGTGGCGTGCATTGGGATTTGTAAAATAGTGCTTGTGAATCGAGTTTTCGGCATTTTCTTTCTGTCCCCGATATTCGAGTCTTAACTTAGTGATTTATTCTGTGTGACATGGAAATAATCTGCGACAAACATTTCCTTTGCAATCCCAGATCGCCTACAATGACATTAATTAGAAATAATTTAACCAAGAATTATAAAAAAATAAACATTAATAATTGTAATTGTGTTGATCATATCAACACTTCCTCTAAATATATTACCAATAAACTAAAAATCAGCAATAGGGTTGGTAAACTTTTTACAAAGGAATCCTATGTTCCTGAACAAACTCCCCTACAAGAATTATAAATCCGACCAGATTGGAAGGATTAGTAAAGTAATCCTAGAATGTATAAGTAAACAAATTAAAAATCACCTCTGACTTGTTCAATGGATCAGCACCACTTACGAATTGTAGGAAATCTGTCCTTATCCACAAAAAAGAACAGCGGGTAAAAATTTCTGACAATAACTTTGACATTTCTATGGGATTGTTGGATTCTGCAGAATCTTCTGATTTGGTTGGATTATTTATTTTGTATAATCTTACTGCTTATGAAGAGATTACTCTAAATAGTATAGGGATGATGGTCTCATGATTGTAAAAAACTCTACGAGAAATAAAGTTGATAAACTTCAGTCAGTCAGTTATGTGCCATATGTGATACACACTTAAGTGATCATGTATCTTTCAATACATGACTGACAAGGCAAAATTTGTTTTTTTTTTCCCTGCAGTAGGTTGCCATTTCTTTCTGCGGAAGACCATTTGCCATCCAAGGTTATAGAACCCGGTCTGTTCTGCTATTTACCCATAGCTGATGGGGGAAGAAGAAGAGGATTAATACCTTTCCCAAGGGTATTAGCACATAAGTGAATGCAATGGATTTGACTGGAATTTGAATTCAGCTCTCCGATTTCTCAATCCGAGCTGCTATCCATTACTCCACCATAGGGAATTTAAGAGTTTAGATCTTAACGTGAAAATAAGTACTAATATCAAACAAGTTAATTTCCTAGATGTAACATTAGATTTAGTCTATAAAAATTTTCAGCCTTTCATGAAGAACAATGCCAACCCAATCTATATCCATCCTAATTCCAATCGTCCACCGTCTATAATCCGACATATTCCTTCCTCTGTAGAACGTCGGATTAGCAAACACTCTTCTAACAAAGAGGTGTTTGAGAAACATAGAACTATGTATAATAAAGTTCTTAGGGATAGTGGCTATAAGTCCCCTGAAATTCATTTTATAGAATATAATGGTAGTTCTTAGAAAAGAAATAGAAACAGGAAGATCATCTGGTACACACCTCCATTTAACCAATTAATTAGTACAAAGCTAGGCCATAAGTTTCAAAATTGACAAACATTTTCCAAAAAGCAATCCCCTTAGTAAAATTTTTAATAGGAATACATTGAAACTTAGCTATAGTTGTACTAATAGTCTTGAGAAAATAATAAAGTTGCACAAACACTTAACCAATTTAACAGTAATAACCATAATGTAAGTACTAATTCTAATATGGTTAAGGACAGCAACCAATGTAATTGTAGGAATCTTAACCAATGCCCATTGTCTAACAAATGCTTGTGTATATGTGTTCTATTTCCTCAATAGAAAATGTGAGGATTGAAAAGTTTTATATTGGCAGCACAAAGAACACTTTCAAAGATCATTGGTATAAGCACCTATCTTCTTTTACTAATGCTATTTATAGAAATAAAACTTCACTTTCAAAATATTTTTGGAAGTTAAAAGAGGAAAATAAAACCCCTAAAGTTAAATGGAAAATTTTAAAACTAGCTAGAACTTGTAGATCTTTATATGAACCTTGTATTGTGTTTACAGAAGATTAAATAGGGATGGGTTGTTAAATCAAAGATTTGAACTGTCAATTGTAAGCATATTTTGCCTTTGACTCTACAATCTTGCTAAATTTTAAAATTTAATAATCACTTCTTTTATGATGAATTACCTTGTGGCAAACATTTTAAACTTATCCTTAGTAAGTTAGATTTTTTGGTGGGCATTATAGTATGTACCTTATTCTTCTAACATTACTGATAATATTTTATATACGTTCAGCTGACGTTTTAACATTTTCTATTGTTTTATTAATACCACATATAAAAACTCTTTAGTTAAATTTTATATAATTTATTATTTTATTATTTATATTATCTATGTACTTTAAAGTTTTGGTTAGTTCATTCATTTATTTATTTATTTTATTACTTTGATTTAATTTTCTATTTTCTGTTTTGTAATTTTGATAAATTTTTTCCTTCTTTTATTTAAACAGTCTTTTTTTTTTACATACTATTAAATAATTATTGTTAAACTATGCTACTTCAGCGAAAATGTCAACCATTTGTTTGTCATTACATTGTATCAAAATTATGTTTCAAATATGTCATGTGTATCTGTTGAATTTTGAATCTGTTTCATGACATCTTACTATGGAATGCTATTTTGATTGGATGAACCAGTTATCAACATGTCTAGCTTCTTTACATTTGTATATCATCCTTATATTTATCTTTCTCTCTTTTTCCTTTTCTTTGGAGAAGAGACTATCTCTTATATATTTTCTTTTCTTTCTTCTTTTTTAAAAGAGCCTATGTCTTGTCTTTCTTTTCTTTTTATTTTTTTGATTATATCTTGTGTCTTTCTTTTTTTCTTTTTAGAAGAGACTATATCTTATGTCTTTCTTTCAATCTTGCTTTTCTTATTTTCTTTTTTCATGGGAAAAGTGATTGTTTATAAGTAAATATTAAAAATTGTAATTACCCTCATTTACTACCACCTGATGAGATGCAATGATATGCATCGAAACATGAATGCATTTATGTAGCAGTTTTACATATGTTTGAATGTAACCTCCTATAATAAAGTGTGTGTGTTTGTATATATATATATATATATATATATATATATATATATATATATAAAATGTGGTGCAGTTCAATTTATATTACAATAAATCATTCATACAAAAAGTACAACTGAGACATTACTCTATTTCTTGAACAATTTAGTTCATGCCACATTGACTGATAAACTCCTACAACAAAAAAATTCTCAAATTGCCATATTAGTAAAAAACGCACTCTCTTAAATTTTCAAAAAAAAAAAAGAAAAAATTCAATGTTAGTGTTGCAACTGCACACTCCAAAAGTTTGTATCTGTTAACAATAACACATTTAAAAAAAACATATTTCGATTCACATTATATTTTTTTTCTTGGATGCTACCTGAATTTTACCAAAAACAATTTCCATGCCTGAAGATGACTGAATGTACAGTTGAAAGTACTTGCGTATTAAAGAATGACCATATACAGCTTATGATTTTTAAAAACAAGGATCATAACATTCATTGAGTGATTTGTAGGTTAATGCACCTTTAAAATTTTGTTAGTGAAGAGATTTCGTCATTTTATATCATTAACTTTACTAATCTACTTTTTGTATGAATGATTCATTGTAATATATATATATATATATATATATATATATATGTGTGTGTTTGCATGGTTATTTTTTTTATTTTTTAGGAAAATTTGATTTTACTTGAGGTGAATGCTAAATCAAATATTTTTTATGTTAGATTTAAGCTCACATTAGTCTAAAATCTTATTTAATTTAAGAAAATGTATGATATTATTTTTTAAAATAAAAAGTGTTTCAGCTATATTGTATTCATTCTGATATTAAAAATGTCAGTAAAATCTGCAAGATTTTGAATAATGTAAAGAATCTTGAATCCTACAAATTTAAAATGATACTGTTTGAAAGAATGAATTTCTTATTTAGTCTACAGAGCTGAAAATGATATTTGATGTTGGAATGCTGTTTAATCCATATGAATTTCATGATTGTGTATAAAATTGGACACATTTTTAATTTATTTATTTAGATGAGAGTCCTTGAGGCTTCAATTATTTGAAAGTTGTTCAAAGAAATTTGCTTCCAATATAGATACCTTGATGCATGCACAAATTAGTTTAACTATGAATCCAAAATTCTTAGATCAAATTAAAAATTATGATTAACTGTTAAACAAAATTTTAAATATATTTTTTAGTTTCTCATATGATTTGCTTTAAAACTAAATTCTGTTTATCTAGAGTAATGAAATCATACACAATTTTGATTGATTCCTATATGAACTTTATTTCAATTATATACTTTCTATTACAAAATACATACAACCATTTATTCTTAATTATGTTTAGGATGAGCTTATTTGAATTAGTTTCTTCTTTTTTATTTTATTACATTGTATATTGTCCTCATTAAATTCACCCTATAAATATAAATACATAGGTATATCAGGGGAAAAAGCATTTATTTTTATATTGCACAACAAATCTTTTTTCAGTATAATATCCTTTCTTGTCAAACACTTAAACCCACTTCTCCATTACTCACACATTGAATATTATACAGTGAAAATTTTGACAAGTAACACTGCCAGGTTATAGACTTATTGATCCACCCTTGTATATGATTATCAGTATCACACTTATTTCTTGTATAAAATCAAATATGCTCTGTTCCATGTAGACTTTTTTTTATCCTTTCACCACAAGCAAGTCAATAAAGTCACTATGACACTAGGAGTGTGAGAGAATATGAGAAGAAGAAAACATTATGTAAGAGAGAGAACAATAAAAGAACAGGAATTAAGAAGACAGAAGATAAAGATTGACATTGCATTTAATTTTGTTAAATATCAACAAAAGAATATTAAGTATCAATGAAAACTTGATACAGAATCAGTGGAAAGAGGATGAGCAAAATAACTAAGCAGTACTAAATAAGAATAAGATGCAATATCCCTAGACTTGGACAGAGGAATGAGAACCATCTACCCCCTGTCAAATGATTCAGTTTGAAATTCCCTGCTGATTATTCTGATTGACAAGCCCCTGAAGAAGGCCAGAAGACACAATGGCCAAAATGTTGTGATGATAATAACGACAAACATAAGGACAGAAGTCTAAATGTAAATAATAATCAAAACTTCTCTGAACTAAAAAATATAATTGACTCATACCATATTTTGTTAATCAGTTTGCCTGTCTTTTAAATAAAGATTTTGCTTTTATAAAAATTTTCTTTAATTTCTTTTATTAAAATTCATTAATTAGGCTAAATGTAATTAGGCTTTTGTAATTTTTTTTCTCACTTTATTCAATAACTAGAAATGTGTTTCTATTGCTTGTCTTTTTGTGTCTAGGAAGGCTGGTATTACATGGATGCTATGCTTGATTGGTACAAATCAAGGTGGCACATCTCACAGCAGCAGTCGAAGCCAGTTCATTGAAATGCGATGCCAAGACATGTTCTTTCATTCAATGGCTGTTGTGGTACCTTTTTATTGCCAGAATGCGCCAGCACTCAAATCTATCAAGACTTGTCAAGTGTTTTCCATTAACCCTATCTTCTTCCACAAAGATGGACGTCCACTCCTTGATGGGTGAGTTGTATAAAAAAGGCATTTTTACATTTCAATTGAACTTTTCATTTTATTTTTGGCAGTAAATCTATATTTAATATCCTAGTTAGATGAGAACAATTGGAATAGGGGAGAAAAATGTAATATTTCAGCATTCATAGATGATATTTATAATAGATGATAATATGGTAAGAATCTGGAATAGGGGTTAGGTGTGTGTGTATGTGAGGAAAAAGAATTTTTTTTTTTTTACTCATCAATAATGAAGACAATTTTTTAATTTTTGAAAATAAACAAGTTGATAGCATTTCATGTGGCAGGTTATTTGCAGTGAAAACATGAAACTGGTTTCAAAGAATTGTTCTAATGGCTATACATGGAGGTGTGTAGCCACAGGGTGCAGAAAAAGGAACATTCAGACACCACCCACTCAAGTTGTAAGTTGTGTTAATAATTACAAACTATTGTTTTTCTGCTGATCACCCCCAGTTTTAATTTTGTTCAAAAGTTTAGTTTTTTGTTTTTACATGAAGTTTTGTTTCAAGTCACTGATGTTGCACTTGCATTTCACAGTTACTGATTTATAAAATTTGATTTGATTTTATATTTCTGTATCATCCTTTCTTTTTTTTTCATTATTTGGTATTAAAATACTTGATATTTCTACTATACACATCACAAGTGGTTGCTTTTGACCATCTAAAAATGAAGACCGTAAACAATTTAAATTTATGATAAAACAATTTAAGTACTTTAGTTGCCATCATTTGAGTTTTTGTAAAATCTATTATATTGCTGGAATAACATATCTAACTCACTATTTTATTTTATACAATTACTACAATATTTCCTACCATATTATTTTACATGAATTACAGAGCAGAGATGAGCCATAGGTTCCTCCAAATTCTTTTGTCATAATAATAAAGTCCATCAATGACGATAACAAGGTTCTGCTCCACCAAATGAGAAGAATGAGAATTGAAGAAATCACTGGTTGATGATATGTTGACATTAATAGCTAGGAAGACGAAACTGAGAAGCACATTGTCATCCACAGGTTGGACACTGAATGCTGACACCTGGTGGCAGTGGCCCACACACCAGGTAATCATGGTGTTACTGTCAGCGAAATTCAAAGCTCTTGAGTTTGGTTAGTTTCAAATCTTTCAATGGTCTAACAGCATAGTGTCTTCCAACAGTTGTGATTGTCTGCTCTAACTTCCACTTCTGCAGGATTAATACCGCACTGTTTTAGCATTACTTTCAGCTAATCTTTGAAATGTTTTTTCTGTCCTCCAACATAGTGCTGGCCTTCTGAGAGTTGCCTATATAGGATCCTCTTTTGGAGACAGTCTTCAGGCATCCTGATAACATGACCAATCCATATGAACTGTTGTTGGATAAGAGCTTTAATGCTTCTGCTGCTGGTATACTGGAGAATATTGACATGCAGTATTCAATCTTGCCATGACAATCCGAAGACTGTGGATGTGAAAGGGTTCAAGAGCTTGTATGTGAGATCTATATGGAGTCCAGGATTTAAAGCCATACAGAAGGATGGATAAGCATATAATGTTGTACACTGAGACCTTTGTGGAGGTAGACAAGTTCCTGTTTAGAAAGATTTGTCAACAAAATTGTCTTTTGTCATGACAATCCTTTGTTATCAATTATCAAAATGTAGATTTTGTAAGCATACATAAAGATAGGTACCTCCAAAAATTTGTATACCTAAGGTTTAAATGTATTTTTCATAAAGGAAAAATCCTTTTTGGAGCTTTCCAACTGCTTCAATTGAAAGCTAAAAGATTAAATTTTCTAATTCCAGAAAAAAAACTACTGTGGAGTATTTCAAATAGAAATTTGAATGATTTTTAGTCAATGCTTCTGAGAAACTAATCTAAACGGCCATTTTTAACTTTTTTTAGAGAAATGTAAATGAACTTATTTTTCAGTTTTGAAAATCCCACTAAAATAAGATATACATTTCTGAAAGGTTACTTTCATAAAATTAGCAAATTTAAAGTTAGATTAATCTGTTCTGAAACAAATATCACTTACTTATAGCATAACATTTTCTAGACAAACATTTCTTGACCTTGGGGTCTTGTTATTTTCACATCTCCATTGATAATTTGATGGCTGAATGTGTTGACAGGTTTAGTACGGTGCATCAAAAGTGCCATAACGTTTTTTTTTTTGTTTCTTATAATTTAAAATACTATAAAAATTTCTTACATTATTGAGTTACCTCTATCTCTTTCATTATTTAATAGCTAACATAATGATAAATAATTTTATTAATTATTCATATTACATTTTTAATTTAATAACTGAGATAATAACTAATAAAATTATTATTATATTAATAATTAAAATATCTCACTGAGTTATTGTTTAAATTGATAAATGAGATAATTTTATGATCTCAATTTAATTTTTAATTTAATAACTGGTAGTGAGATAAGATCTTTACATGTCAAAGAGCTTTCCCAAAGGAGGAGACAAGCTTTGAAACATGTGACCTTTTAACCGTAATGTCACTTATGAGATATCGTAATAAAAAAAATATAACATTTTGACACACACAAAAAAAAAAAATTTAATTATGGTAAAAAGTTTTGGTAACATTATTTGTATTTAGCTTTTAATTTTCACTTAGTAAATATAGTCTTCACTTAAAAACCTACCCCATACTCTGTTTGGAAGAATTTTAAAACATTTTTTAAAATTAAAGAAAAATGAAAAAAAACTAAAAGAAAAATGCAAATGATTCTTGTAAAAATTCTTTATTCATCAAAAATTTTTTTTTTCTTCAGATAATAATGCCCTTAATGTATATTACTTATAAAAGCAAATAAAAGCCTATCTAATTTGATAATTAAAATTAAATTATGCTTTAACAGATAAAAATCTGTTGCAGTTTATTGCAGTTTTTATTTTACGATTTGGAGCAGATTTTTAAAAAGTTGGGAGTAGTTGTGAAAAAAAAATTCATGATTTAATTTCTCCAAGGAGTCCTGCTTATAAGTAATATAAAACAATTTTCATACTGTTTGAAATTCTAGAAAATTTCATAAAATTAATTTTGAACAGATGTAAAAAAAAAAAAAATTTTTTTCCAAGATTTTAAAAATAAAAATTTAAAAAATAAATTCATTCATTTTTGAATAGGTCCTGAAAGTTTCATTAAAATCAGACAAATTAATGGGTTTTCCCCCTGAAACTGCTACACTAAAATGGCTATTACCACAAGTATTACAATGTTAACAAAAAAGAGATTTTTTACCTAAATTTAGAAGGTGTTTGAAAGAAGGAAAAAATTATTTTTAAATATTTAAAAAATACTTTGTTCTTTCCTCTTAATAATAACAAACATTTTAACGATGAAACTTTGTTTTTATTAAGTTTGGAACCTTTTATCATTATGCTATACTGATTTTTTAGTGAATTATTGGAGGTACCTACATAAAGACTATCACGATTCACTGAATCTCATTTGAATGCTACTATTTTCTTATCTAACTGCATGAGAGGGGGGAGCTGAAAAGTTGGTCAGACCCACTTCCCAAAATCTGACCAAATAAATTCAAACATCATTTTTTTTTTTTTTTTAAAGGATTTCTTGGTTTTATGCACCCTCTCTCCTCATAATTCATCAATTTCTACTTTAATTCTTCTATCACCTTTCTTGTTTAGGCCTCATCAGAAATCATTATTACTCGAGGCTTCTTGCCCAAATGCTGGATGGTCATCATTTATATCACCAGATTCCCTAATTGGAGAAGATGCTCTTGTCAGCCTCCATCATACACCTCTCCATGGACTACTTTTTGCTACATGGAAAGTAAGTAACTTACAAAATATTTTCAACTTTATGATAAATTTTAACCAAGCTTACGTTATATTTAGATCTGCCTTGATAAAAAGTAGCAAAATCAAGCCTACCTTTTATGGATAAAATAGCAGCTATTATTTCATGTAAATTTTTAATTCTTGATCAAACTGAAATTATGAAGATTAAGATAAATTTGCATTCCTTTGATTTATCTGCAGATATGTTAGCAAAGATCAAATGAATCACTGCATATATTCTATGTAAACAAAAAAAAAATATATATTTATTGGTTCCTGTTCCCTCCAAACTTTACAATAAATGCCTTGCTAATTCTTGCTTTCCAACTTGTTGAAAGTCCTCCTCTGTAGTTCCTGTCTTTAAAAACTCTGAGAAACCAACTGACCCCTCAAATTATCACTCTTTGAGTCTCTTCCCTTTTTTTGGTAAAGTACTAGAGGCTCTAATCAATGCCAAATTGGTTAAGCATCTTACTTCACACAACCTTTGAATGGACACATTTCTAGTTCATTTTATATTAAAGCAGGGTTTCCTCAGGGCTCTATACTTGAACCTACAGTTTCTGATCTTCATCAACAACATTCCCAATGTCAATCAATTCCCAACTAGGTATTTATGCAGATAACAACTATTTACTCCTGTCTTAGTAGCAAATCCAACAAAGTAAAACTGATAACTGCTTTTGAAAAGAACCTCCAATCAGTAGTTACTAGGACAAGGAATGGCTTATAAATTCCAATGCCTCCAAAAGAAAACGGCTTTCATTTAATCACTACAAAAAACCTTTTCTGTCTGCCATCAGCATAACTGATATTAAACTTCAGGAGAGCAACACTTTTCACCTTCTTGGGATCATGTTTTTCACTGATGTGAAGTGGAGTGATTATATTGAATCAATTGCTAGGTCTTTTGCTAGGAAAACTGGTTCACTGTGTTATGCCAGATATTTATTCTTGTCAGAATCCTTCTTGCACATTTATAAATCTACCATTTGTCTGTGCATTGAATACTGCTGTCATATCTGGTCTGGTGTTCCAACTATGAGATTCTTGACAAAATTTAAAGGGTCTGTAATCTAATTGATCCTGACCTGGCATCTCATCTTCAGTAATTTTTTCACTGATGTGACATGGCTTCCAACTGTCTTTTCTACAAATATTTTCATGGCAATTGAGCTTTTCTCCTTGGTGGCTCAACTGCATGAATTTAAACATCTTACTGTATTGGCAACTAGTTCTCACCATTTTACTGTTGAACTAGCTAGATACAATGATCTGTTGTATTCTAATAGTTTTTCTCACACATCTCACTGGTAGAAATCCCTTCCAATTTCTTGCTTCCCTACACACCTACAATCTTTAAAAATTTAAATGCAACATCAATTGCCATCTTCTGTCTTCCTGAATCCTGTTACTTTATTGTCCTTATCCTCACTAAAGTCTTCTCATTCTCTTTCATTCCCTGTAACTCTCTGTGTCTTTGTAGCATTATCACTTTGCTTGGAGTGAAATGATTAAAAAAAAAATTAATTTCCTGACTTGTGTGATTGATTTTCATAAAAGTGACTTCCAATTAACAAAGGATATAAAAGGTCACTTATAATACTGTTAACGAGGATGCATTTCTATAATAAGGGATTCCACTGAGTTCTACTTGTTATTACAAAAAAGTTTTCATTCATGAAGTAGTTGTAAAATAGAGAAATTAGAAATAGAATGTTTGGAAGAAAAATCTAGATGATTTGAGAAACATCTAGAAATATGCAAATTAGGTGTTAGCCCCTATAAAAATGGGATTTTGGAAAAGGGTTGTGAGTTGGTGAAAGGAAATTGTTGCCTGTATCAACTCTGGCTTTTTGATTCAAGGATTATTATATCCAGCCAAAAGAATCTCTATAAAAAGTTGCCGACCAACCAAAACCCAAAAGAGAATTTCATGGAACAAATTTGGTAAATAGAATTTTGACTAATTTTCATTGACCAAACTAAAAATTAATATTTATTTACACACCTTTGTGGATTTCCAAATATAGCACTTAGATTACTTCACTAGCCCTAAAGTGATAAAGATATTTGATTCCCTTTCCTTCTCCCTCATAACACTTCACCAGTAACTCCATGTTTTCTGTTTTGTAGGCCACAATTGTTTATCCTGTATATATTTTATGTTCTGTTTTAGTAAATTAAATATTTGTTTGTGATTTAGCTCTGTGTTGTGGTAAATCATTTTTTTCCTTTGTTACAATTATCAACATGTAACAATACTTGCAACTTGTTTATTGCTTCCATCTTCCACACATTGTAATTCTGAATGAATAGAATATAAGTATATTCATGGTCAATGTATACTTATTAATCCTGCAATAAACTGCTGCTGCAAAAAAAAAAGTTGTCTCTCACATTGTAATGTCCTTAAAACACCTTCAATATTCTTAAATACACAATTGATTATTCTTTAAATATTTAGTATTGGTGGACATTACAATGATTATTTATGTTGATTAAATATCTTTGAATACAACTATTCAGTGCTTCAATTATTTTTCATTTTTTTTTTTACTGTTTCTTAACTCTATTGATCACTACTTTTTTATATAAAATATTTACTAACAGTTTTACTTTCTTTCAGGATGATGGCGAGTTGTCATTCATTGTTGCATGTTTTCACTTTCATAAACTTGTCCAGAGATGTCTGCTTGGCACCAGCTCCCGGTATGTGAAATCTTTTTTTCAATTGAACTTTATTTTGGACAGAAAATTAGTAAGGCAAGTTAGGACTTGCTGTTTCGTATTTACTTTAAATTTATCTGATTTTATCTATTAAATTAACATGTAACAGCAATTCATGCTGACTGTGCAACTACAATATATAAATATTGTGCATTTTATATATGGACCTCCACTAAATTTTCAATAACTAAGAATTAAAATGAATTTTTAAAAATGAAAAAAAAAAAGCATTCTTGAAGCTTTAATTAAAAGCTAAATAATTAAATTTATTATTTATAGTAAGCAAAATATTTCAAACAGAAATTATATTGATTGGAATCTCAACTTCTTTGTTACTTTCAGAAATCATTTAAAATCAGCCATTTTTGACACATTTGTAAACAAAAGTTAATTCTTGGTTTTAAAAATCTTCCAAAAATAAAATATACTTATCTGAAACTTTATTTAAGGAATATTAGCTGATTTAAAGTATAATTAATCGGATTTGAAAAAAATATTATTTACTTTAATGTTTAAAATAATGGAGAAATGGGTTTTTAAAATAAACAGTAGCAGTCATTATGAGCTTGTCTCTCACAGATCACTTAACAGGCTTTGATAATGTGTGGACAGATTTATTTGTTGTTTTATGGAGATTTTTATCTGTTAAAGCATAATTTAAGAAAATGATGGTTGAGCCCCATTTTTATATAATTTTTAATTACTCAGTAATCTTAAAAATGCTGAAAAATATTCTTTGTAATCAAATTTTAGGAATGTTGAATTTAAATTTATTATAGTCATTGCGCTTATTTTGTGATTATGTCATGTATGGTTGACCATACTTTCAAACAGAGGCATGTTACATAATATTTTATATACATAAAAAAATTAATTATTTTAAAAATCTTGACGCAAATACTTGTATTAAGCATTTTAATTTTTGATTAGTAAATATAGTTTTCACTTAATAACAATATCAGCTAACCAGATTGAAGTAATGCAGAATTTTAAACAATTTATATATTATAAATTATTATAATTAAAAAAAAAAATGAAGGCAATTCTTGTAAAAATTCATTATTCAGCAAAAAAATGTTTAAGACAATAGTGTCCTTAATAAATCTTATTTATAAAAGCAATTAAAAGCTTTGCTAATTAAATAATGTCATAGTTTTATTGCAATTTTTATTTTATGATTCAAAGCAGATTTTTGGGAAATGAAAAAAAAAAAATTGATGATCTACATTCTCCAAGGAGTCCTGCTTTTAACTTTTAATAAAACAAATTTTGAGATTGAAATTTAATAAGTGGTGGATAAGATATGTAAAAAAAAAAAAAAAAAACCCTTAAATAGTTTCATTCATTCATTTGTGAATAAATCCTGAAAATTTCATTAAAATCTGACAATTACTTGAAAATCAATGTGTTTTTCACTTGAAAAATTATGTTAACCAATGACACAAAAAAAAGATTTTTAACCAAAATTTCAAACGTGCTAGAAAGGATTAAAAAATTTAATAAAATGATACTTTGTCATTATTAAGAGGAAAGACCAAATTTTTTGAAGATAAACTTTGTTTTTATTAAGTTTGGGGCCTTTTACTTGATGCTATGCTGTTTTTTCAGTGACAAGTGGAGGTACCTAATTATTATATGTAACGATATAAAAATTATACATTTTGTAAAGTTTCAATTATCATGCAAATATTTTTTTCTCATGAAATGTGTTCTGCTTTCAGACCCTACATTCCATCATACCCTAATGTGATAGAAGATGATATTGATCCATTATTTGGTAAGAAACCTACTTTCAAGATATAGCAAATTCTTTAAAATAGTCCAAAAATTTCCTTCTTGGATTTTTTAATCAATTTTTTGAATTTTCAATACAAAAAGTATACTTCATTATTATTTCTGATTAATGTGAGTCTATTCAAATTTCATTAACCATAAATTTGGATTTGGTTTTCTGTAAAGGTGAGCCTTATGCTATATTTACAGAATTCCTTGCATTTTGTAAATGATGTTGAAACAACAGAGTACTTTTGACAAGCAAATTGCATTTTAATATTACATTTTCTCAGCTTCTTTTTATGCCGTCAATTAAGTTTTCTGCTTCAATAGAATGTCTGTTACTGATAGTTAAAGAGAAAAAAACAAATCTACAATGTTGTTTCATATAAACATTCTTTCCAATTAATCATTCACTTTTTAAATGCTTTTTCTTTTAACTAAAATCGTAATATTGGCTACTATCAAAGATTAATATTGCTTCCAGGGAAGGTAGACCTGAAATTCATTGTTTCAGCCACCAAGTACAATGTATGAAACTTATTTTGTTGAACAGTGGTTATTATCACATTTCAACCATTGTGCTCATGGTCTCTTTCAAGTGTCTGTCAATCTGAGTAGCTTTCAAGAAACTTCAAGCTGAACCCTTTATTTAAACTAAAAGAGTAGATTTGTCCTGCTGTCCATATTTAGTGATAGATTGTTTGTTTTTTTTTTGTTTTTTTTAGCATTCCTCATTTACTACTTGAACTGTTTCCATTGAGTCTAAGTTTGTACTACCCAGCCCAGGGATTGAACTCAGAATTATTATGCCATTAAATTCACAAACCAACACTTTAATCCAGTCTAGTGGATTAAAGTGTTGGGTAGTACTCAATGGAAACACAGAAAAATTGGAATGTACTTAAAAGAAAAAAGAAGACAAAATATTCTGAGATAGTGGAACAAGAACAATCTACACTTGTCCATTAAATAGAGAAATTCAATTGAAATGTAATAATACCAACAAAGTTGAAGAGATTAAATGAAAATCATCTTTTTAGCTTTCAAATATTTCTTACAACTCTTTGTTTCAGGTCTTCATCATTACCAACTAACTGTGGAGCTTTCTGGAATGCAAACTTCATATTACCTTGAACATTTTAATGGATTACAGTGTCAGCTTGGCAACATCAGTAAGTACTTGATAAACAAGCAGAGAATTCATTCTTATGCAGGTTTTATGCCATTTTGTATCCCAACTACTTTATGAAATGCTAAAGTTCTAATGAAATAAAGGTACTAACTTCCCTAGAAAACTCATTCTACATAGAAATTATATTTTATACTTTTCTTGGCAGGAGCTTGGAATACATTCCTTTCATAAGAATAGTCTTTGGTGATATATATTTGTGAATACAAAAGGAACACAGCCCCCCATATCAGTGCTTATATAGTAAAGAAACCCTTTTGATAATGAGTTCTCTGAAAAATAGTTCAGTTTTTGCCTGTTTTCAATTCATAACAACAATTAGTACAAGTGCTTAACTGTTACTGACAATTGACTGAAAAGGAAGCTGACATATACCTTTAAGAATCAAGAAAAAAAATAGACAAATTCATGTTTATATCTTTTCCCGTTTTGTGTAATATATAAAATGGGGTTGGGAAAAAGATGAATTGGAGACTTGAAATAGAATCTGGATAATTTTGGAAGAAAAAAAAAAGTTAGTCTTTTTTACTTATCTGCTTTTAATGTTTTGGCAGGAGCAATTTGCGAGAAAACGATTGCAGACAAAAGAAAGATGTGAAGCATCTTTCATATGGAAACAAAGCTAAAATAATTATGTCCATTTAATAAATTCATTTATAAAAGTAACAAGACACGTTATGACAGTTTTAATCCAATGAATTTTCAATTTATAACGTTTTTTATCAATAGAAATAAGGACCTCTGAAACATCTGCAAAAATTCTCTCATTAAATAGGACAAGTCTAAAGAAAAATATTCAGAAGTTGATCATAAAACATGCAATCATCATTTCTAGTGTTTCCTTTGTGGTATTTTTAAAAAAATATATCTCCAGCTTGGTGAGGAAACTAGAAACGCTTATTTTAATTTTTACTGTAGGTGATGGACATGCCCACTTCACAGTGATCAGAGAAGAGAACACTTACGATTACACTCCACTCTCGACTAAACTCAACATGGGATGGAAAACAGAAGCATTAAAAGGAGTCATACAGGTAAGAATGAAAGTCAGATGTGATTTTCCCTGAAAATAATATTACTTTCAAAGCAAAATGTAACAGCCAAGTTTTTAAGTTATAATAATTGTTTTCAAGTTCTGTAAATAGATGAGCTTGCTTCTTAAATTTTCCTAACCAGTGATTTAGTGGATCATTGAACTGAACATTTAGGGCTTAATATTCAACATTTGACCAAAATCTTGAAGTAGCATAAAAAATAGACTTTATTGACTTCTTTATAAACAGTGCATGCAAAGATGAATCTTTGTATTATGTTTTGACTTTTTTTTTTTTCTTAATGGCGTCTAATGGATATTTGATTACCTCAACTTCTACTTAAGTGCAAAGACCACGTTTTCCACTGTATTGGGGAACTTATATTGATTTCTAGTCACAGTCAACTTTTTAAAATGATTGTTAGAATTTCAAAGAGAGAATTTTATAAAACACTGAACCTTGAGCACAAAAAGTGTGTTGATGCTAGATATTTTTAAATAATTTGCAACTTTTTTTTTCCCCCTGATCCAGAATGCTTGTCTGTTGCATGCAACAGTCTTAGAAGAAAGAGATGAAATCTTCTGGAGTGTCAGGTGAGATATTTATATTATTCTGTAAAATTGAGATCCTCTTTAATATACATGAGAAAACAGACTAGATATTAAAACCATTGGAAGTAAATTTGATTTTCAATAAACACAGCCTTGTTGCAGATTTAAAAAAAAACAACCTTCAAAATCTTTGTTATTCATAGATAACAAAAGATGAAGTTTTATGTTAATATTATGTAAATAACAGATTTCCAAATCACTGCTATTAATAACTACATAAAAAGCATAAAAAAATTGTTTTTATTCCTGTTGTAAAGATTAACTCAAAAATACTTAAGGTAAAAATGTTTTTGTGCGCAATTTACAAATGTCAATTGACACTAGCATGATATTGTCTGAACTTGCTTTTTTTCTTTCTCATCTCATTAATACTGAATATGATAAAAAGAAAGGATTATACTGAATAGTGACTTTTAGCACAACTTGATTGAAAAGAAAGGAGACTGAAATAGAAGTCTTTGTAAAAGTGCTAGAAATATCTATATCAGAACTCTATGGAATACTGTAAGTTTTATGAGTGGTTCCAGAGGCTTAAAAAATAAACAAAAAAAATTAAGCCACCTTTTTGAAAGGATTGCATGCAGCGGAAGTAGATTGGGTTAATAATTCATATCCCAAATGATTTTGTTGAGTTGCTCAGATTTTTATACTTTTTTTCTTTTTAACTTTACAGTTCTCCTGTTCAAGTTCAAGTGAAAGAAAACTGCAATCGTAAGTGAATATTTTTGTTGGCTTCATTTCATTCAGAATAGAAGTTATTGTTTTTGTTAGATTAAAAGCTAAACATTAATTCATTGAATAACACAAGGTTGAGGTTTTGTTCCTTTTTAACACAATTGTTTCCAAACCAGAGCAACTTGTCAAGAGTTATTACTTAAGAATCTGCAATTGTAAGTGTAGATTTATTGGACAGCACTCAGAAACTGAAACTTAGGTTATTCATAATTTATTTTCTTTTTTTAATAAAAAAAATAGTAAAACTGTTGCATCAAGCCTGGCCAAAAAGATCACCTTTTGTATAGAACAGAGAAAATTACTATATCTTTGGAAGAAAGGTCATGTCAACTAAATGGTTGGGGGGGGGGGTTCTTTTTCAGTTACTTTTATGTTCCATATTTAGTCTAGTGGTAAACAAAGTATGGCCCACAGGCCGGAAACATTTCAAACAAAAATTCTTTTAGTGCGTTACTTGAATTTTGTCTAACCAGCTTTTCTTTTTTTTTTTTTTAAGCTAAATCTTCAATGGGAAGAAATGACAAATTTATAATTTATTAATTTCATTGAAATTTCATGAAAAATTACCCATTTTATAAAGACAACTAGGTCAGTTCATGCGAGCCAACAACAAATTTGGGTCAGTGTATTCTATGTAATGTCACTGGACGCATATTAAATAATTTAAATTATTTCTCCTAAAGAGAATCTGTATGAAACAAAAGATTTTAGACATTTTTAAAACATTGACATGGTCATTTGTTAAAGTGCAATTATAGATGAAAAATGTAAAAAAACAAATTTAAAAATCTCTTAACAATTGAATATTTGTCCTAGAGATGTGCTTCAGAATAAATTAATTAATAGGATTTTATAAAAGTAATGCTTACTGTTTGCTTAAAACAATGAAAATAACCTTTATTTACATACAGTAAGTTGTCATCAATATCATAGGTCAACAACAGTAGTTTTCTGCTAGCATCTCTGACTTAAAAAGCATGTGAAAATTTTAAAAATTAAAGGAATATGGAACACCAGCAGTGCAATAATTAAGAAATTGGTATTTATGTTTAGAAATAAATTATCTTTAACCAATAGCTTAAAAATGTAATTTTTAATTCTATATGCTTTTATGAAACTTAAACAAATAAAATTATTCATTCTATTACATCAGAAATATAAAAAAAGAAATTAATTAAAAACTAATGAAATGATACTTTTGTGTTTGTTTTTATTATTTTCTTACCTGTCTGATGTCATTAAAATATATAATTGCACCCAGAGGTCTTTTTGTAATTATTCTGAATATAAGTGTTATTGAATTATCATATTATTCTTCCGATAAGGAAGAGTAGTCAGTTAAAGGAGGTAACTCAGAATTACTTCCTTTTTGAACTTCTGTACAAAAAAATAATCTAACAATTGCAAAAATGGAAAAAAAATTTTAAAAAAGGTTCACAATCATATTAAACTTGACATTTTTTGATTCTTCAAATATATCTTTATTTAATTAAAAAAAAAAAAAGCTCTTGTTATGAACAGCAATGAGATGAATATCAGAATCACACTGAAAAATTACGAGTAAATTTTTAAAAAATAAATCTTCAGTATAGATTTTCTTTTCCTGTTCCACTCTGAAAGAAAATGTGCTTTATTAGATTATGCAAACACCTACTCAAAAAAGAAATATTTTTTGAGTTTTATTAATTTTGGTAAGGTTTAGGACGAATTTTCAGTATGTTCACTCTTGTTATTGCATAAATGTTTTTACTGAAATAACATCTTCAGGGATTTTTCTTTATATAACTAAAAAAAAAAAAAAAAGTTTCATGAACATTCCCCCAAATTAAAATGTACACACAAAATATCAAAGGAGAGGCGGTCAGACCCCCCCACCACCACCAATGTTTGCACAAAGTTTTCTAATAAAATGACCTATTCAGTATACAATTTATTAATGAACAAGTATTGAAAATTTCATTTAAATCAGATAATTCCCTTTTTTTCAAATTTTTAAAAACAAGGGGTAATAATTATTTTTTTTTTCATTATGGAAAAAAAAAATTACATCCATTTTGGTGGTACCTAGTGATTCAGTTTACAGTATGATACACAAGAATCGTTGTTTTCATCACTTCCAACTTATTGGTTGTTGCTATTAATTGCCAATGCTAAAGGGTGGGGTTCTCATATGTTCATTATTCAAGTACATTTTGTTACCTGCATCTCACCATGAACATACTAAATGAAACTAAAAAAGAAAAAAAAAAAAAAAAAAAGTTGCCCACCCCAGGGTTAGTTAACCATTTTTGTATTTCTTGAAGTAATATTTCATGACTTTCTCCATTGACTCTAGGTTATTTTTATTTATGGATGGGTCTTTAACTATTTGTCATTATTTCATTTTACTCACCTTAACATTGTATATTTTGTTTATTGTAGATGTCCAATTTGAAATGACGTCAAGATCTACACGTTATATTTCTTATAAAGACGACCGAGGCCAGCTACACATGGAAATCAATGAGGTTAAAAAAAATTCTGTAATAATTCACTAATTATTTTAATCATCTTTAAACATTTCATTCGTTAAAAGGTTTTATCACTTTAATGTCCAGTCAAAAAAGAAGTTCAGTAAAATCCTGACTTTTCAACAACTCTAAGTTATTCAAAATTGATTCTGGCTGGTTTTTCAAACATTTTGCCATTTTGGAAAAAAATACTTCAAAATCAGTTTTATTATTGGATGAGCTTATTGCAGTAAAAATTCACTTCATAACAGATCCAATGCTGCATTTTAATATTATGGACATTTTTTTCTGCATAAGAAAATTTGTAATAATATTACATTAGCTAATGCTTTATATTTACTAGTAAAGAACTAATATTATTGAACTTGCAACAAATAGCATTGATCTTGTGATCTGATTAATAAATTTGCTGGGTCAATTTATAATTGTTTATATAGAACCTTTGAAATTCATAGTAAATGTCACAATCCAATTCTGCACAAATATAAGGTTTTTAAGTTGCAATCCTTTTTTTTTTTTTTTTCTTTTCTAGTGTGAAGATGGTAGAAATTATGTGACACGGCTGGAATTGTCCCTTTCATTAGGGGCCATTAACCAGTGGTTTGGTACCAGTTATACATGACCTGTTTTGCTGCTGCTATGTCATCTCTAATGGAGAGAAAGATGCACAACATCCACATGCATTCAACTAGGAAAGCTACAATCTCTACTTTCCAAATTTTATACTTTTGAATCTTTGTTCAAATTTAAGGTTCTTCCTATTGATTCACTCTATTTTCATATCCTTGTTGGATTCCTGAATTTCAACTTCATATGTCTTTTAGGATTTTTTAATAAGCCTTATTTAGTCTTTTAAAGATCATAAGAAAGGAAAAAAAAAAGCATAAAATCCACAACTGATTTTAATAGAAAATTCAAAAAAAAAAAAAAAAAAAAAATTTCCTGACATGTTACCTGTATTTACATTAAAGGAAAATTGATAATGAGTTGAAGAAAATCTATTTAGATTTCTGATGACTGAAACAGACCCAGGTAATTTTCAAAATTACTTTCTGCATTTGACTGAAAAAAAAAAAAAAAAAATTTTCTTAATTGTTTTTAAATTAAATTTTCAAGACTTAATGCTGTCAAGTTTTAAAATAAAATCTATTTCAATACATGCTGCAGTAACAGTGGAAAAAAAAAATCTGCAACCAACAAATATTTTTTTTTTTTTTAAATATTCATTATTACACACTGCCATGACATCAAACCTTTGTCCCTTCCCAAATTTAATACTATTTAAAAATATTTCTCTATTGATTTTTTTCCCTATTTTCCTGCTGCCATGAAAATGGGCTACACAAGTTCTTGCTTATGTCATGGGCTTAACTATTTTTCTTTCTACTGGCATTTCTTTTAAATGTGCTCAAACATTTTTATACTTTGTATACATATACCATATAAGTATACCATATAATATATTATATATATTAATGTTTCCTTGGCTGGGGAAGTGCCAAAATATTTACTAATTTTTGGTGTGAAGCTTTGATACTTACTTTCTTCTGTCCCAGCCGATCTGAGGATGTGTAACCATGGCGATATTTGATTAGAAAATTGAGCCACTATTTCACTGGTTCAATATAAACAGCTTAAAATTTCTCCATTGGCAGAGGAAAAGGATTAAGCTTTCCTCTTTTGGTTATCTTTTCTCTTAAAAGCTTTCAGCATTAAGAGAAATCTGAGAGAAATGCCTTTTCCCACTCTACCTGCTCTTCTAATACATTCACAGGACAGCAGAACAAGGTTCCTGTTTTTACACTGCTGTGGCTTACTGCACCCTCCTTCCCACATGTCCAGATTCCATGTACTCCTTTATGGACATTCCCATTTTTATTTTTTTATATTACTATTGGTTGATTTGGCTTCATTGCCTGCTATTTGGGAATAAAAATTCTAAACATTTTCAATCAGATATTTCTCTTTTGTTGTCTACAAAAGTAAATGTTGAGTGCTTTAATGAATATTGCTATGCAAGATAAACAATGATTTTATGAAATAATTGAAAATCTTTGTAGTATCACAAATATGAATAAATTCTGGGCTAAAAAATTCCAATAGTTTCAACTCCAATGCATAATGAAATAATTTTCTACATAACTTTAATAAAACTACATACTTATCTTGGACTTTTTAAGGAAATTTTATACACAGATTCTGAAAACATTAATGAGAAAAAAATTGATGTAAAAACAGAATGAGTAAGGAAAAGCTTATACTTTAATAACAGTAACATATTCTAAAATAGTTATGAAAAAAAGAAAATGAAAAATTTGTCCTCATTTGGTAATGAAATACACAGAAACTGTTGGTAACTCGGAAAAAAATGCCTAAAGAATAAAAAAATATATTGATGAAAAGAAAAATAAATAAAGAACAAAAAAAAAACACACACACACATCCAGTAACATTCATGGCATTTTATTCTTGAATAATTATATAAATAATATATATATATTATATATATTATTTATCTTTTTTTTTCTTCATTTTTAAAAATGTTAACCCTCTACTCTGGATAATGACTAGGTGTCTACTATCTACATGCGCAGTAAATTGTTCCAAAATATGTGTAAAATCATGACCAAAGAAATTGGCTTATAAATACAGGGTGACATGAGCATTTTTGTGCATAAATATTTTAACAAATCAACATGATGTTCTCTGTACAAGATTTTCAGAATGACCAGAGACCAACATGATATTCTCTGTACAGTTTACAATCTCTCATTCTTAAAATACAAACAAAAAATTTGTTATGTTTGTATTTTATTTTTGATAAATTTTTTAAAGTGGGGGAGCAAGATAAATGGAATTTACTACAACAACAGCAGCAACAACATAGTGAAGTCTCTGATGACAGCATCCTGAGATATAGGGACAGAGGTGGGACTTTGGGAAGCAAGAGGAGAAGAGTTTCAGAATCCCCCCACCCCACAGTATTTTACTAACAGTCACTTTCACACACATTCATATACAAGCAGGCATCAACAGTCACAAAATGTGGTCTATGTGACAAATGAACAAAGAAAATGTCAAATTGTCTGGAGTTAAAGAGGAGAAATAATTGTACTGTACAACTACTGTCATTCACAGAGACAAACATTTTCAGGGGATATGCATATAAATGCTTGTACATTTACATGTACACACACATTTCTCAAACTCTTGGCTATGATCACAGAATAGTATCTCTTGTATAAAATATTAAGTGCATTTAATTATAATCAACCAATCAAGTGGGCCTATATTCAGTGTTGCCAGTCAAAATTTTTCTCTACTTTAAGTAGAAATTTCTTGACATTTATAGAGAGGATTCATTCATTTCCTAATGGAAATGAAAATATACACATAAGATGATTGACTTAAATAAAAAGAGAGAATTCATGAGAAAACAGTAGCAATTTCTTTAAAAAAATTTCTTCAATACTAGTTGTTCAATAAGTAATGGGAAAATGGATGAGCAGACTTAAAAAAATTGTGAAAAATAAATAGAAAGGTACAACTGAAGTTCAAGGCTCTTTGTTAGTTGGCTACACACAAATCACCTCACCCTGAGTACAAGCAAAAAAAAAAATACATTAATGCAACTTTGGATACCTCCATTCTCAATCTGATGCATCCTTGAATCTGCGGCTGAAATGGTCACAATGCATGAAAGGTTTTAAATTCTTGATCAAAATTGAAGAGGTTTTAGAGTAGCCAATAAAAAAAGACATGTTGAATGTCATAGAAACTCCTACAGCAATCACCACTGGCCAGAAAATTCACACAATCTAGAAAAATAATCAAAATAGTCCTTTCAACACCTTGTCAAATGTTGCAGTAGCAACATTTTTTCAACACACACACACACACACACACACACACACACACAATATATAAAATGAACCTTGTTAGTAACCAAAATTAAAATAAAATAAACTTGAAAGTTTGAGAGGCTCACATTATTCAGAAATATTTTTAAAGTTCTTATCATCTTTTCATTTACTATCCTAACAGCAAAATATTAGAAATACTTTATCATTTTAACTTAAATCTTGACTTGTATTCCATGCAGATGGAACAATGTAAAAATTTCTAATCATTTTTCTTAATTATATAAATTTATATTTAAAAACCAGACTTACATTTAATTGATATTTTCCTAATTTATGATTAGTGTTTTGAGAAACAAGAGTATAAGTAAAATATACACTATTTTACATAATATATTGGTTTTGATAATAAATTACACAAATGCCAGAGAAATAATGTATAACCACTTCACAAGGTTCCAATACTCCAAGATCATGGTAATTAAAAGAAAAAAAATGTGTATTGTTGTTCAGTCTAGAAGTGAGATGAACCAGTCTCACTATCAAAATTGATAATTTTACTTTCAACTGTGAACTGTTTGATCAACAGATACCTGAAGAAGGCTGGAGAGCACAACAGCTAAAGCATTGTGATAATAACAAAGATAAAGACATTAGTTCAACTGAAGAAAAGAAAACTACTGCATTTCATTCATTTTGACCAGGGCCATCAAAAAAGTATCTGTGCAATGAAACAGAAAAATACAATCCCCATTGCAAGGCAGCAGATATATGTTCAAAGCAACCCAAGAACATTAGTATGGTACCTTCATCACATAGGATTATATTATGGGAGAGCAACCAGAAGAAAGCCACTTAGACTAGTCAACATTCAGTAGAGAAAACAGTGCACAAGTGACATATTGGCAAACTTTTTTTCTTTTTTTTTTTCTTTTTTTTCAGATGAGTCTTTATTTTCTTATTTTTCAAACAGTAAATGAGTAAGGACCTAAAAATTGCTGAGCCAAGAATTTTGTTTCAAATGTAACAGATTTTCAATTCTGGTTTGTTTACAAGCTTCTAGAATGTGAGAAGGGAATATCAATTCAGAAAAATACCTATCCATTCTGCTAGAGAGACTTCTCCTAATATTCACTGATTGTTATTTGGGGGTAGGGGAAGCATCTTTTATGGAGAATGAAGCATTTTGCTATACAGCAAAAAAAAAAAAAAAAAAAAACTTAAAAGTACTGATATGAATCTTATTAAAATACAGGGTGTTCCAAAAGTCACATTACCATTGAAAAACCTTGTAAATTTTATATTTATTAACCAAATGGAATCATGTTTCTGTATGTGATAGTATATTATTAAGAAATTTTATTGATTGAATTATGGAAAATGATGTCATGCAAATTTCCTTTGGTTGCCATTTCACAAATGTACATTTTCTGCCAATTGTTATATGACTTTTGGAACACCTTGTACATTTACAGTTGGACTAATGTCCTCACTTTCGTTATCACAATGTTTCAGACATTGAACCCTGTGGCTTTCTTCAAGTGTGTTGATCAGATAAACTTCAGGGAATTTCAAACTGAACCTTTTATTTAATCTACAGGGACAAATTGTTCATGTTCCATTGTCCATATCTAGAGATATCTTGTCTTGTTCTCTTCTTAGCCCTGTTCAATTAATAGCCTGAGTAAGTACTACCAGACCCAACGATTGAACTAACAAAGATTAAATAAAGGGTTCAGTCTGAAAGTCTCTGAAGTTTACCCAGATTGACAGATACCTGAAGAAGGCTGGAGGGCACAACAGCCAAAGCATTGTAATAATAGCAACAAAGATAAAGTTCAACTGCAAATAATGTAATGATAACTTCATCCCAGAAATTCAGACAAATTTTTTTAAGAAAATGCTCAGAAAACCTGCTATAAAAAAACTATGTTTTGAATGTAGACTGAACATCCCACAAAAAAGATAGCAAAACTAAAAAAGTCAATGACTAAAATTAAAAAAAAAAAATTGCATAATAATCTTGAATTGTTTAGTTCATTGAATAAAGACTCATTTGAAAATAGGTGTCTATAGATGTAAGGTTTGCAATGTCTCTGAACACATGCCACACGCTCAATGCCTTTTATTTATGGTAGTGCAAATTTGATTTTCATGGGATATATTCCACAAATGTAGTATCGTGTCTGTGTTGGCATACTTGAAGTAAATGAATTGATATAGGGACAAGCTTTTGAAATATTTAAAAAAAAAAAAAAAAAATACAACCCAAGATAGGACATGGGTGAGACTGAATGCTCACATACCAACTGACAAACAGGATTTGAAAATGAAGGATTTAAAAAAAAAAAACAAGTGATAGGATATGGAAAGAATAAACCCACACACACTTTGATTAAGCTATTATGCTTGTATTGACCGATCTCATTTCTCACCATTGACACAAGATGGTTTTTTTTTTCTTTTCTTTTTTAAATGTCTTCAATTTTCAGATTTGAGAGAATAAAAACTGCTCTTGGCGATATTCAGCAGTAAAAGTCAGTCTGTGATTGTTGTGTTCCTACTCAAGGACAGGCTTCAGGAAGCAGAGCAATCACCAGAGATGCTTCTCATTGACAGCAGTTGGTGACCTGCTTCTTGCTTCCATCAAGAGATGATGATGATGATGATGATGATATGCATTGTGAATGTCAATCAAGACTGGCCTTGTGTGTATGTAAATAGAAAAGCAGTAAGGAGAGCAAAGAGAAGCATCAATCAGTGACAATTTTTTGAGGTGAGTGCTACCTGGAAATATTTAGCAGTTGAAAAGAGAAGAAATATGAACATCCTATTTTGGTGTGTAATATGACAGAGATGGCCTATGCTTTTGTTCTTTTCATTGATAGGACAGCCATTATTAGAAGGAAGATACAGCAGTAGAGAAATCGAATTGCAAGTGATTTGTGAGAGACAGTAAAATACTGACCAGAGGAAGAAGCACAAGGGCCCAGAGAATTATGATGGTTGTCTGTTAATGTGTACATAATGTGCCTAATAATCAAAGAGGTTTGGAGTTCTGCAGATGATATCTGGAAAGGATCCATTAGTCAGAAGTAAACAAAAAAAAAAAATAATGGTGGAAGGAAGGTTGACCTGGATATATATTTATTTATTATTTTTGGAGGGGGAAGAAAGAGATGGAATTTTATATATTTTTAATTTTTTTTATTTATTTATTTTTGTAGAAGGGAGTTTTAAATGGAAGGGGAATTTTAGAAAGTTTAATCTTTAACCCTTAGAGCACCAGGTCAATAGGAATCACGTCAAGTGCAAGTCAGATGTTCATCCATTGCTACCTTTGGAAGCATCTAGAATGCTTTAGGGTGGAGATAATGCAGAGAAATTCACAAAGCCACCCAGAATTTTGTTAAAGGGAGCCATGTCATTTTTTTTGTTTTTATTTTGTTGCAAAAAGACTAGTTGCTGCTGCAGCTGCTGCTGTTGTTGCTGTACTGATGTCTTTTGCATTCATCACTAAGTTTGGTAGTTTTATCCACTTGGGGTGGAGATTTGCTTTACTGTCATCTTGGTAACTGAAGATAATAATGCTGCAAAGTGTCCACACTACTACGACATCTTCGATATTCTTCATCGTCTTGAGTTTTGCTGTCAAGTAAAGTCTGAAGATAAGAAGGAAAATAGATTGATTAATTATTTTTAAAAGTGTTGCCAGATTGACAAAAAAACTTTCCAATTTGTCTCATAAGAAATGCAACTAAAAGCACTTATTAAGAATCACTTACTGAAACTCGTCGGCTTAATTTCTCTGCTGTTTTCTTCAGATCAAAATTATCTGTTTTTAATTTCTGGCATCTTTCATGCAGAATAAGTCGTTCTAATTTTTGTTCTGCAAGAAAAATTTTCAAAGAATAAAATCAAGAGTCAAAGTAAACATTAACAAAAAATATAAAAAAACAATTTTGTTAATATTTTGAGAATTAACAAATCAGATTTTAAAAATAGAATAAATTACAATTTTGTTATTATTCATCAATTATTATATAAGATTTGTACTAAATGTTACATTTAAATGTAATAAATATTATTTCTAGCCTAATACAAATATATGTCAAGCATTATTTTTGCTAAATGACTAGCATAAATCCTTTATGGCCATTCTCTACTTCAAATTTCATATGCGTACTGACTGGGAGCAGCTGTTATTTCAATACACAGGTTAACAACCATCACATGATCAACTAGAGGTGCCAAAAATCTCCAACTCTTACAAAGTTGAAGATTTCCAAAACCATACTTTGTGTTACCAAGTGGGTTAATAGTGAGTGAGGACTTTGTTGTTTTGTGACTTTTCTTTCAATATACACAATGATCAATTTTTCCCTTTTATATAGATCTATATGTTGTCAGCACCAACAGAAACATTTAAAAGAAATTCTCAAGTACATAAAAGCTAATTAAAACACAAGTCTATTAGTTGCTTCCTTACTTCCCACACCATTATCTTCTCATTGCACTTAATGCCAAACAGTTATGTTATAATGAAGTATGTTGTGGGAAAACCAGTTATGCTCAAATAAAAAAGAAAAGAAATGACTACAATAACAAAGTAGGAATTATTTTACAATACATGAATGATTCAATGCTATATTTCTGTTCATACATAGAATATAAATACATGAAGCAAAAATATTAATAGATTTCAATCTATTTTCTGCTAGAATCTGCATCTTACTGACAAAAAACATAGTACACCAGTAAGGTTATATTCAATGCATATAGAATATTTTGAGGAAATAATGAACTATAAAAAGTTCTATTTCAATGATTTGTAAAATCATTTTATCAAATAGTCTCAAGATCTTTTTTAAAACCATGTATCATGCCATAAACTGTTGAATGCTTTTAAGGATGTTGATTTTTTTTTAGAGACACTAAAACAACATGAATAGTAAATGTTTGCTGTCTAACACATTTTATGACAACATGATTACATATTAAAACTTTCTGAAATGCCCTTTTTGCCAAAGACTTAAGAAAACCAAAATTAATCATTTAGGATAAAAAGGTTAGAAGAGAAATGTTCTTACCATCTAAATGGCGTTGATATGCCTCTAAGATTGTCTCTACACCAGGCCATTTAAATGAGACAGGGCTGCCCGTAGATTCTGTACACTCCATACGGCTATCATCTGACCGAGAACACAATGCAGTATGGTCATGAGATGTTGACAAAGAAACTTTCTGTGTGTGTGATGAAATAGGCAGATCTGTAGTTGGCACCGGCTTTATACTGCTACTGCTGCTACCAACATCCATTATCTTCATCCCTGCAATATCAAATATGTTTAAGAATATGACACTGGTTTATATTAGGAACAAATTCACTTTTTGAACATGTAATATTACACTAATACCAATTCTTTATTGAACAAGATTCCAACACAATTATTGTTTATTCAAATGTCATTTCAAGTTAATATGCTTTTAGACAATAAATGTGTATTGAATAGCACAGACAACTTTTAATATTACAATTGAAAAAACAAACTGAAATCAAACTGACCACAACCTCAGCGATATCTGAAAGAATTTAAAATGTTTAAGATGGGCTGCTGTTCCAAAGCATCAACCTGGCCCATTTCGGTTCATATCAGGAATTTATAGTTATAATATAGTGCAGCTGATTAATAATCCATTGTGTGGCATCAGCGTTGATCAGTTGCAATAAACAAATCAAAATGAATATCAAGTGGAAATATCAGCAGCATCGATTAAACAATATTCAAAGTACAGAAGTAAAGAATGCTAGAACCCAATCCAAAAGTATATTTTGAACTATTTTTTTTTTAGTTCTTAAACATTTTCATTTTTTTAAACTATTAACTTTATATTTAGTGCTTTTAATATTTCAGCAAATATACTCCTTGATCTTATTCAGATGTCTACTACATCTAGTGATCCTGAAACATCAGTATCCTCTACTATCTACAAAAACACCAACAAAGTCACAAGAATGACTGTCAATGACTTGTGTTAACAGATGAGATGAAAACAAAAAACACCTATTCATATTGACTCCTAATACAGAAAGCTTTAACTGCTAAAATTAGCTTTCCTGAACACTAGTTTCCAGTTGATGTTAAAATCTATACTTGGTTTACTTATTATACAGATATTTTTCGAAAAGATTTTCTCTACTGGCTTTTTTCATCTTACATGATTCTTTGTCTATTATTCTGATCTTTTTAGACATCATCTGAAATGTTTGATTTCATTATCTCATTTTGAATAATGTCTTTCTGATGTCCTTCAACCTGATACAAAGGAGGGGATTAGATTCTCTATCATAACTGCAGAGCATGTTTTAGCTTTTGATTTACTCCTCCCCTGTGGATGACTGATCTTTGTGAAAAGATTGTGTGTTGATTTTATATTGAATACAAATCATTTGAATCTTTTTGGTGAAAGATATTTTTAAATTTACATTTATATTTTTAATATATTTGTAATGAAAAATATCAAAATACTATAAAAATAGAATGAAAATTGGAAATGCCCAACTGATAATGCATATGATAAATCTATAATTATGAATTACTTATTTGCATTCAAACCAATGTCTTTATCTTTGTTGCTATTATCACAAAATTTTGGCTGTTGTTATCTCAGGACTTCTTCAGTGTCTGTTTATCTTAACCTTTTATTTAATGTACAGTATAGATTGTTCTTATTCTGCTGTCCATGTCTAGGTATATTTTGTTTTGTTCTTATTTAGTACTGTTCAGTTATTGCATGCCTTGTTTCCACAGAGTCTGAGTGTGTACTACCTGGCCCAAGGATTGAACACTGACATCCTACAGTTAGGTTTACCAAAAAAAGATTTTTTTTTCCTACCTGTTCGCCCATTGGCAGATTTATTTGAGAATGTAGAAGCCAGAACTGATTCATGGAACTCTTGAGCAAACTTTTCACTGAGACGTCGATGGTCACGGCTATCTCCTCGGCTTTCAGGGAATATGAGAGTACGAGAAGTGTCCTGATTGGGTCTGCTTGAGTTGACCCCAGGCTGACTTGTTGTAGCTGGGGGTGGAGTTGATATGCTGGCTTTGTGGTAATGTTGCTGAGATGATGAGGCTACTGCCAATGCTGCCAAATGACGCTCTTGTAATTGATTCAATGATATTTTCGGGCGAGTTGGCTGCTGCTGCTGCTGTTCAAGCTTGTTTGGTACCTGAGATGTGCCTTCAATTTCACTGTGTTTTCTTTTTGTCCGCTGAGGCAGACTGTCAAGTAATGCTACAAAAAGAGAAACACACATATATATATATATATATATATATATATAAAGTTCTCAGCCTGACCAAGAAGAGATTTCAAAGGTAATCCAAATATCTATTTGGTTATTTGGTTAAATTTATGGAAGTAGACTAGGCTGAGAATTTTTCAGCATCTCTTTCTCTCACAAACACACACACAGAATAGACAGGCTTGGCCAGCTATTTAAATTTTGATTTTTCCCCCTAAGCTCCCCACCATTATTCCAGATTTATTTATTTTCCCAACCTGTTTTTTATTCCAACGTTCTCTCCTTTTTTTGTTCTGAAGAACAAATTAATTCTGAATGACTTTTCCAGCCTACCTTTCTATTCTAGACTTGACAGTACCTCATTAAATTAATGTTTTATTTCTGGGCTCATGAATATTGATGAGAAAATTTTGCATGCAAAATAGTAATACAGGATGAGACTGCATTTTTATCTAATATCCTTCATACTGTGAGATAAAATCAAAAAGTCTAGATAGATTGTAATGTAGTGCTGGGGCATCAACCTGGGTTAGTGGTAATGATGTTTTTGTCTGATCCCAGTGACATCAGCTGATGAAAACTTTTTTTTTTTTTTTTTTTTCAGCTGTTGTTTTCAAAGCAACATATGTATGAAACTGTTTCCCCTTTTTATTTTTGCCACTAACTGCAGGTAATTCTGGAAGATTTCAACCATTAGCATTGGGTAATAATATTGAGCTTTCATTAAAGTGAAAGCTGATAATCTGTATGTAGGATAAAGAGGATAATTGATAATTGCTAATCTTTCTTTTTTTAGATTTTATTTGGAGAAGGAATCATTCTTAAGACAAAACAATTTTTGTCCTTTGAAGTTTTGTGTCAATATTGCTTTCCAAAGGTGTAAGATTTTTCTGAATGTTTTCATTCCATATATTTGCAATAATATTGTCTTAATGTTTCCCATTTTAAACACATTTTACCCAAGAAAGGATGAAAAATCTAAGTAGTAGTTGGTCTTTAGAATTCACTAAAAAACATTTATCTGTTATACATTCTTTTACACTAGTCTGATGTCTTTTTCACATTTCAGCCACTGTACCATCTAAACATTTTTTTCTTTCCTCTTTTGCATCTTTTCAAATTCTTTTGTTTTCACTGTTAATATAAGACATGAGTGGTGTAAATGTATATTGTAGTTAAAGAGATGAAAAGGAGAACGAGGAAGTAGTAACTAAATTCTAAAGATACAATGTCTCTTAAGTTTCGCAATTGCTCATAAAGTAAAAATTGAGTTATCTCCCTTACATATAAAACGAATTAAAATAAAAAACAAAATTTTTTACACAATCAAAGATCACATAAATTGCATCCTAAATATCTTCCTTTTCTTCATTAACAAATTTAGTCAAAATCATAAAATGTATGACTCCACATCAAATTTTCTATTTCTTGAGAATTTGAAGTAATGTCAAATTTTTGTATTTGAACAGTTAAGACATTTTTTTTTTTAATCACAATAGAAATCTTGTTTAGTTAATGTAGTTATTATGATTCTTTCAAAATAAACCTCTATCTTAAAAGAAAAATATTTAAAATTAAAATTTCTTTAAGATGTGCACAGGTTTATGAAACTGGCACATGTAAAAAGTGACAAAAATGTTTCTTAAATTCTAATCAAGTGATGTTAGAAATCACAAAAATGGATTTCATGGGAATTTGATTATGCCCATGTAAGTTCATGATAGAAATATCAAATATGAAAATAATCCAATTATTTAACAATTAAAAAATTCTTGTACCAGGTTTAGATCGTTTTTGAGCTTCTTGGATGTGTCGATCTCCTTCTATATGTTGGTGCTGCCCTGATGTGTTATTGTCTAATACAAGCCCAAGTCTCCGTGCTCGCTCTTCTTGACATGCCTGTAGTATTGCCTCCAGTTCTAAAGAAAACAATAAAAACAAAGATGTATAAATATGTCAATAAGAATATTAATAAACTCATTTTGTATACACAAAACATACATGGAAACATTTAAGATGCCAATTTGTACTGGGCTCACCCTAAGATATATCAAAGTAGGTTTTGTACTTAATGTCCCACCAATACATCAGAAGGTAACCACATAGCCACCAGGTGCAAAATTGGATTTCAAAGGACATCACTGGATGCCTTGATATGTAAACACAATGTTGACCCAGATGAACTTAGGATGTGCACATTCAGGACAACCAAATGACAAGAACTTATATAAATGACAGAATCTCTCACATCTTTATGAGAAGAAATCCCCGTTTGAATAAAGTCCCTAAAGCCACATACCCTCATGCCGACATTTATTGAATAAGTCCAGAAGTGAATAAACAATTTCATATATGAAAGATTTAGTGTTGTATTCTTATTACTCTTTAGAGCAATAACATTACATGTATACAATCTTCCCCCACTATGAATATCTTTACATGCACCCTCTGACCAAAACAAAATGTAGAAGAGATTTTATAAATAAATACTTTTCATTTTTTAGCATTTTATTACTTGGAAAACTATTTTCTTCTGATATAACTGGAAACTTATACCATACAAAAAAAAAAAATTTGATATTGCATTATTTGTATATCATACATAATATACTATATATACTCAAGTATAGTGCAAGTTTTTATGATCAGTTTTTTATGCAAAAAATAGGAGGTCACACTATACACAGGTCTTTTTTTTGAAGACATTAAAAATCATGCATTTCAGTGACTAGTTGCACTATACACAATTAAATTTTTTCTGGAGATTCATGCAAATATTTCAGGGATCGCACTATACATAAAGTTGGCTTATACACAAGTATGTAAGGTACTCAAGAGAGAAACAAGTTTTGACATGACATACATTTAAACAGTTGTAAAACATTAATTTCAAAATGCTGAACGGATTCAAATCTTTTTTTCAATGATCATCCAAGATAACATCCGCTTAAATCTACTTCTCACAACTATAAATTCTGCTGAAACAATGTATTGGAAAGGAAAGAAAATTATACTTGGTAAGAAAAAAATTATTTAAAAGTTTATCTGCATATTTCAGAAATTTTCTTTATTTTGAAAATCACCATTTCATTAATTAAATGCAGAAGGATGAACTATTTTTTGGATTATTTAATTCATCCAATTACATTCTGAGAACAAGCAAGAGAAAAAAATGTTGCAACAAAAATTTCTTACCTCTTTTCTTTTCTCCTGTTAATGCGGTGAGGTTGAGGCTATGAAGGAAGCGACATTTATTTCTGTAGTCTGGCTGCATGCACAACTGTTCTGACAAATAGGGTGGGGGAGCTGGTAAGCCACTGGAAGTGGGTGGCTCCTCCTTCTCAGTTTCTACAGGCAAGGGACTCAAGCTACCTTCGCGTAACATGTGACGGCGTTTGCGATGACGCTCAAGCTCCAGATCTGAAAATAAAATTAAAAAAATTCACTAAATTAAAAAAATATGATCACATATTTTTAGACAACTGCAGAATGATTTATCAAAAGATGAATTGTCTGTCAAGGGAGCATTCATTATCTTAAAGAAACATTTTATCACAAACTCATGAAATTGAAAAATGAAAATATCTGTAATATGGAAAAAACATTGCATAAAAGTTACATGTAAGTTTTAACATGTGTTAATTATCTGTTAAGTACAATTCAGAAATTCATTAAATTCCTTTAAGATACTTGTCTCAAGTAGAAATTATAAAATACATTTCACCTGAACATCATTTTACTTGCATTTCCCCAAATTTCACTCTCTTTTAGCAAATATGTGCAAAATGGCTGACATATCAACTTTAACCATGTAATTTTATGAATCTAATGTTTTAACACAATAGCTACCACATTATATTGTAGTTTAAAACTTTTTGATACTTTTTTGATGTAAACTTTCATGAAAAAAGAAGATATTATTTCATTCAAAGTTTTTATTTTATCTTCTAGTTTACTATAATTATCTTGTTAATTTATTTTGTAAAACTATCATTAAGCCTTCATACATGATAGTGTTATTACATTATCATAAATGCATACATATTTAATGATAGTTTTAATAAGAAAATGCTAAAATAATATTTCAACATTCAAGATAAAACTAGAGACAAAGACAATAAATCAATATCTTTCAAGAATTATAAATATAAGATGCAAATGATGATTACATAGAACAATAAACTATTCAAAATATAGATATTCTAAAAAAATATATTTTAATTCAAATTCAGACCAACAGATCAAACTTACTATAATAATGAATAATTTAATTTTTTTTATCTGACATATAAACATTAAGCAATTTTGTATATATCAATAAAATTGTTTCTGAATGAAATCTTTGTAAACCGCAGGTCATTATTTACTGTATAAATTGACCTGGAAATAATATAAATCAATGCATGTAATATATGTATTATAACATCTGTGGTTGTGGAATAAAAAGGTAGAGATACAAAGTTAGTGGAGGGGGGAAAATGTTTTGTTTTCAAAATTTCTACACATAAGTCTAATAAAAATATATTTCCTCAATAAAATTTTAATGGCAAAATAAAATCAGAAAGTAACTTTTAATCATAATTAAAAACCAATACTTAAAATTTGTTTCTTTTATAATAACTCAGTTATACATTTAACAAGAGAATTATGAAAATATTTTGCTTGTAGCCAATTCCAACTCTTCTAAAATAGCCCTAAAAATTTCCTAAAATTTTCACATTAAATTCCATTTGGTTAAATCAAAATCCCTAGTAGACATCTTTCTATGGGAAGTTTGATATGAAAATTTATATCTAAATAATAAAACACATTCACAGTATAAAAACAAAACAAAAAACGACAGAATTATTTATGTATGAATTGATACTTATTCCTAAGATCAGTATATTAATGGGTTTAATCTGTCAAATGGGTGGATACTGGAAGACTATGTCTGGCAACAGAACTCCACACCATGTCACACAAACAAGAGAACCCAGTCATGGCTGTCAGACAATTTCTGCAACCACATAACCCCTTAGATCTGGCTACCTAATTTTCCAGACTGCAATCCCCTTGATTATCATGTGTGGGGTGCAGTTGAATGAGAGACTAACAAAACACTTTGTAACACCAAAGATGAACTGAAGGCAAGTATTATGGCAGCCATTCACAAACAAGAAGACCATCCAGAAGAATTGCAGAAGATTCTGAAATTGTCTCGAGGCCATGGTTGAAATAAATGTCGATTTTATTGAATAAATTTACTCTACTCTTTAATATTTCAAGATATTGTGTAATTTTGGTAAATATATCTGTTAAAATGAGATGTCAGTGTTATTTTCATTTTTCATAATTTAGCCGACAATTTATCCATCGCACTATATATATATATATATATATATATATATATATATATATATAGAGAGAGAGAGATAATGCAAAGATTTTGCAAAAAAAAAAAAAAAAATATAATAATGTTGACCAATGTCTTATTGGAAGTCAAGAAGTCTTTGTAAGTAAAATTGCTCAATATTACGAAATAGCATATTGATATTAAACAAAATGAAAATTAAATTAAAAAGCTTTTATTCATTTACAATGTAGAAATGAAATATATAATGTGATGATATATTGGAAGACTTAGGAAGATCTATTTTTATGGCACTTCCTAAGAAACCAGGTACAAACGAATGTGAATTCCATTGAACAATCAGCCTAATGCCTGTTCATTAAAGACACTGGGACAAGGAAAATGATATTCATGTTCAGAAAGAGTAAAACAAATGTAGAAAGGTGTGTACCTATGTTTTATATATTACACAAAATCATTTGGTAAAGTACATTACAAAGAACTGTTAGAAGTGGTAAGTAACCTTAACATATTTGGGAAGAATATACATAAGAATAATCAAGAACTTATACTGTCACTGTTTATATAAAAAAAAAAATCATCCCCCAGTAGAATACTGTAAATGAGACAGAAAGTTAAAATGGCTGTGCTTGGGCAACCATGCTGAAAACAGCTCACCAATTCATTATAAATGATCTGACTTCAAGTACATAATTGTACCGCAGATCCATATTACAATCCAACCTTAGATGCAAAGCAAATGATGCTGTAATAAAGACAAGAGAAATGAGAAAACTGGTTAAAAAAAAAAAAAAAATCAATGTACAACACCACCTCATCTCTGAAATCCATAAACTTCAAGTAAATACAAAAGGAGAAAATTTTTTTTTTTAAATTAAAAAAAAAAAAAGAATAAAAGGCACTAAGTATTTGTGTTTAACTAATGTAACTGAAAATCAGGCAAAAAAAATGTGTTTAACATCTCACCTCGTCTGCGTGAATGAGTTGTAAGTCCCATGGATTTGAGATAGCGCAGCTTATTGCGTGAGGTGTCAAGAGGAATTGGTGGTCCAGTGATGATGATAGTCAATTGTTGTTTTCGTTCCATTTCCATAGCTGCCACTATCTCTTCATCTTCTTCACTGTCACTACAATATGTGCCATTAACGCGAGCATCTCTCATTTTGCGCTCTTCTACATCCAATTTGCTCACCACGTTTTGGTCTGAAAAGACATGGAAGGAAGCATCCACCACAGAATTGATGTGACCAGATAGTGAATGGTCATAGAGGCCACTACGAAAGTAGCTGTAGTGGTTGGACAGTTCATGATGGTATGGCTGGTTCTTACTCACTACCTGAGAACATATACTAGAGTTGACATCAAACTGTGGTTCTTCATGTGAGCTTCGATGTCTTGATGAAGAATCATTGGAAATGTCAGGTTTCAAAACTGAATGCTCACTATTTCGATTGCTGCGGCTGTTTGCATTGTCATAAGAATTGACCCTTTCAGTTTTAGCTTGTTCTGGGTATTGGTGATTGGAATAGCGATATGATAAGAGAACATCATAAGGCCGGAATAAACCAACCTCTGCCGTTTTCTCTGTACGGTCAAGATCATTGTGTGATGACCGGTTTGGGGGAATTAGAGGCGGTGGTCTAGAAGGTCGGTGTTCATCCCGCTGGTCATGTCCCTTGGTGTCCACTGACCTTGGCTGGTTGTTCAAATGGGAGCTGTTGCTATTATTATTGTTGTTATTATTATTATTGATAATGATGTTGTTGTTGCTACTGCTGTTGTTGTTGTTGTTGTTATGTTGCTCTTTTGCAATACGAGATATGGTGAAATCATTCTGAAAAATTAAGAATATGCATATCAACCATTCTAGTCATATGGTGAATTTATATATATGTTAGTGAGTGCATTTTACTGCAATATATGGTAAATAAGTGAAGCTGACAACTTCAAGTTTTCAAAATTTAAGTTTCTAGCTTGGATATAAACAGGGTTCTCCAAACAATGGCAAATTCAGTATGCAACCTCTGGCCTTCCATAAAATTTTCACATTTCTCTTTTTTTCATTATATGCCAATTATAAAAAAATGACAAAAGTAAAACATTAATTTTATTTATTTTGGACCACAAAAATATATCACATGAACCCTATACTGAAAAATTTGGAGGCAACCAATCAAAAACAATAAATAGTAAATTAAAATACAATACATTTATAGTTATGGCTTACACAAATAGTAACAAGTTTCAGACATTAAGGCAATTAATGTCTTTTGTAGAGTGTAAAGAAAGTAATGCCAAGGGAGTTTCTTAATTGATTTGATCACCAGTTTTAACCTCTTGATAGGGGCTTTTATTTTACTTGAAATCTGGACCAAAATAATTTAATTGGTACTAAATTGACAACATATGTATGATAATAATAATTATAAGTATCTTAATAATTTGGAGTGATCTTTTATTTAATATTTTGGTAGTGATTCATAGAAATTATTTCAGCCAGGATAAGTTTAGAATATCTCAAACATTATTATTCTCTCCAATACTAACAAGGTACTCAATTGATGTACATGAACTTGTGGTGATAGGAGCATCTCATTATCATTTGATAAAATTGAAGATTCAGCAACTGAAATATTAAGACAAAATTTAGAACCTTACAAAAAAAAAAAAAGTTTTCTAGGATTTCTTTTAACAACAATGTTGGATAGTAAATTGGCTGATACTAAATAATGTCTTTGTTATGATTGTTTTAATATTTTATTCATTATGAACTTTTCAAAAGCACATATTTTTCCAATCTAGTGTTTAACAATTTGAAAGGAATCAATTTCATAATTTCTGGCTCATCACTACAGTTGAAAAATTCTACCTTAAGTTATCATCATGCTAATTATCCTCAAACCCTAAAAGAATACCCTATATGGTAAATAAGTGAAACTGGTAAGAGTTTGATTATATGGGAGTCAATGAAGAAGTGGGTTGTTCATACACCTTTACCTTAGGCAAATAGCTGGAGTGATGTTTCCTGCGGTCCACATCAATATGGACAGCTGGACTGCTGCTGTGTCTGTTGTTACTTGAGGTATGAGCCTCTTGTTCCTGCTTCATTTGGTGCCCAGATGATGTGGTCATATGTCCACTATTGCCATGATCTCCATGATCATAACTTGTTCGGCTCCCTCGGTGGGGATGATGGCTAAGGTCAGGGACCCCGTTGGACGAGTTTGATGAGGGGGGTGCCAACCGATCCCCATACAATACATCACGGGGAGTTCCCTGAGTAATAGAACCTGATAAGAGAGAGGAAAATTTTAAATAAATCAGTTTCATTCAATTTCAGTGTTTTACAATCTTATATTTCACTAATCAAACCAAAACATGCAGTAAAACATGTTTTGAATTCTTGTTGATAACTTTAAAATTTTAAATACTTGTTTTTCTATAATTTTTCCCAAAATATAACAAATATCTTGTAAAAATAGGATTTTTTTTTTACTACATCAATAACTATTATAGATTATTTAGCATTTTTTTCTGCTATCAAATTTATAATAGAGAAGTCCTTTTATTTTTTCTAATGAATCCACATAAAAATACTTCACGATATATCATCATAAACAATAAGATAAATTTTGACCCAAGCCGCTCATCAATTAATTGTACTTTTCTTAAAAGATGAAAAATAAATTAACTACACTGGTCAGATTCTCCATTGAAGTGAATAACTTTTATCAAAAACAGTTCCAATAACTGATTATATATAAATGAAGCAGTTTTTACAGTAATATTTTAATCAATTTATTAAACTTAGATTTACTTGTTTATTATCAAAAAATAGTATAAATTATTACCAAAAATAAAAACATTTTGTAATTTTTAATAACTATAAACTTATATGGCCAGAATAAAGCAGATAATGATGCATAGACAAAAATATGTTGGCAGAAAAAACTTCAAACTATTTTAAAACAAAAGAATAAAAGTAACTCAGATTAACATTTAATTAATCAGTATTTAAATTTACTTACATCATCTTCAGAATCTTAGTTTATCAAATACTAATTACTTACAAACATATTTTTTAGTTACTTTCACCATATTTTTAGGCATTTAGACCCAAGATAAAGAGACATATACCTGATATAGATACTTAAAAAGCAACATAGAGAAATGTTGAGATTTTGTAAAAACACAGGTTTTGAAATGATAACTTATTCAAGAGAATTCTTTAACAGTGCAACTTTTCAAAACACCTTTCAATGCATGTGTGAAAATTTGAGATTATAAAGCATAAAAGATTAACAAATTATATCCTCCATAATCACCCTCAAAACATTCATTTTGAAAAAAACTACCAAGAACTGGAATTCTATATTTAGACAAACAGATGTCTCTATTCAGCAGACAATGAATTGCAGTGCTATTCATGTGCAATAATGAAAAAGACCCAACCATACAAAAAGTGATACAGTTTATTTGTATGTGGCCAGAGAGATTTGATGAGAAATTTTAACAGGATTTAAACTCTAGACTTACACTTTCTGATCCATATACTGCAAGAAATCCATGTAAGAATAATCATGCAATTCAATTTTGCATTCCCATTCAGTTAGATGAAGATATCAGCATAAAACTATGCCAACTGACCCTAAAGGGATGCAGAGATTGAGTAATAGAGCTATAACTATCTAGGATGCAAATTTAGCTAAAGTACCCATGAAATGTACACCACTGCAGATTAAGGCAGGTTGATTTTTCATTTATTTTAGAAAATCAACATTGCACTCAGGGTGAAAGCTGGGGTTTGATGAGATAAGTACTTACACCAAAAATTAGATTCATAGCTTTTAGCAATTTTTGAGCATTGAGTTTTGTTATATACTGTACATATGAACACCAATGGGTATGTCCAAATCCTCATAAATACACTGGACACTAATTGTAAGTGGTGATAATATGCTGTAAGTAGTTCACCAGTAGCAGTGGTTTACCTACTTCACGCTGCTGGCAAGTATTGTATTTTGTTGATGTTATAAAGATTAACATTTCATTTCCAACCTTCATTTTGGTTATTCCTCATTCAGTAACCATTCCTTGGTTACAACAAGTTTTAAAGATCATCTGAAAAGATTTACAGAAATAATTCATTTCTGCAGATTTTTGCTTACAAACTGACTTCAAAATTTTACTATTTCAAGAATAAAACCAAATAAAGTTGATATTTTTTATATTAGATGCATTGAATGGAAAATATATTCAAACCAGAATTCTAATTATGAATCACCACAAGCAAAATATGTATTTTTTTTTTACTGTATTTGATAAGTAAAAACTGTCTAAAAAATTGTAAAAGATTACAAAAAAGGCTATTCAATGAATAAGATTTATTAAATCATTTGATAGATCATAATTAATAAAAACAGAAAATAGATAAAAGTGTATATAACACCATAAAACTGCAGAGCACAAATTATAAGACAAAATATTTTAAATTTATATTGCTTATCTAAAATTACACTAAAACAACTTCACTTTATAACATATTACATCATAATATAGCTAAATTGTTCAGTATAATTTCCCTTTGAAGTAAATGAAGGTCCTATTTGATGGCACAATGATTTATTTAGTTATAATGTGCTTGTGCCATGCATCCTGTCTATATACAATTTGTAAAGCTTCAGTAAATTATAAATTTTATAAGGCCATGCTTTTATAAGGCTTTCACAGATCACCAGAATTAAATTCCAATGCTTACAATTTTGAACCTAAACTTAATCTTTTAAACTCATTTCCTCAAAAAACAGAAACAATTTGGAAAAGAAATATTTTGTCATTATTTATAATGTCAAACCTCAACTTTCAAATTGAGTGCAATACAATCCTTCCAAAATCAACCTGCTCTACTGCAGATGAACACAGGCACAATTATATGCACAATACATTATTATAAAAGAACATTTTAGAATATCAATTCTCTTGAATGTGTTCTCTAAAAATTACAATTTTATTGTCCAATCAGATATGTCATTTGGTGAGATTATGTTGTGACTGGACAATATTTCAGTAGGAATATCATAGAGTCTATACAAAGCAATGAATTTTTGGCCTTTGTCCAAGAGAGGCAGCCATTTTTAGAGTAGACATATTGTTACAGGTGCTATACTGGAAAGAACATTGTTGAATGAAGAACTTTATTACCAATAAGGTCTCCCTAACAGCAATAAAAACTCTAAACACAATGTCACCTGAATACGATGAATCTGATTGTTGATGCAAGGAATGTCTGCGTTCATCTTCTCGTATATAATTTACTTCTACTTTGCGACGTTCTGCCTCATGCTGTCGCTCCAACTGCTGCCGATCCAACTCCCGCAGACGCTCCTTCTCTTGCTGCTCACGTTGTTCTATTTCTTTTTGACGTTCAATTTCTCTTTCTTTCTCACGCTCTCGTTCCTTTTCGCGCTCAATTTCCCGATCATTATCAATGCGCTTTAGTTTCTCATCTTCTTGTCTAGGTCTGCAACAAAGATCAAAGAAACACTGAAGTTTTTAGAAAAAATAAAATAAAATATTAAAAAAGGGCACCTAAGAGCTGTAGTTATATAATGATTGCACATTGAAATATATAAAAAGATGTATGATGAAAAATTACAATTGAAGCTGCTCTTAAAATTGAGACAATTTAAAGATAAGAATATTCGGGTATAACACCATTATTGGTTATTTGATACAAAGCATCAATTCCTCATATGACTAATTTTTTTCCTTCTTCACTGAAAAGTTTTCCAAAATGTTATTACACGAGATAGGAAATTAAAAAAATAAAAACTAGTATTCATACCAATTATATTTATTAATTATCTAAATAAAAAATTAAAATAAAGGTAAAATTGTATTGTGATAAGATGTGAATAAAAAAATTAGCAAAGTCATTTTTTAGCCATCTTGTACAAACTAAGAGATATGTCAAATCTAATCTACAACTAAGATAAACATTTTATTTATAATAAATTAATTAATTAAAACAAAAGAAGATATGAAAGGATGTTAAAAAGTTCTTGGTTCACTTTCTGAAAACTGACCAAATGACCCAAACATCAGAATTTTTTTCTTTTTCTTTTTGCATCTCTTCTTGGTAGATATGAAACATTATAATCAAATCTTAGTAAACAATTTTATTTTTGTTTGACAATTATATTTACATTTATTCTTTTAGCTTAAGTTTGATGATGGTGATAATAAGGATACAAATAAAAACACCTTACCTATCATTGGGACCTGGTGACCTGTAACCAGCTAATCGAGAGCTATTAGGCAAATAAGGGTATTGCTGGTGGAGCACGTCAGTTTGGTATCGGCCAGATGCTAAGAAGGGATGCACTCCTGGTGGGGGAATGATGCCAGGATGGCTGAATGGTATGAATGGAGGGTGCATCAATCGGCAACGTTCTAACACAAGAGGATCATCAATACGGCTGAAACAGAAAATCAAAGACTTTTTTAAAATTACTTTTTAATAATGATAATAAAAAATACAAATGCTAAATAATCACAATAAACATGAAGCAAAAGTTGATCTTTATTTATAAGTATCTCAGAAAATATTATACATAATGTGTGAGTGTATGTATGTGTGTGTAATATATATATATATAAAAATCTCAAAGTAGAATATATCTACTAATACATATAATATATTAATGCATATGTATATAGAGAATAGAAAGTATCTATTGGTGTGTGTATGTATATATAAAACACAAAAAGCTCTACAAATGAATATTTTTCAGAAAATGTTACAAGTTGTATTTCACATTACATTAAGTGCTTTACTTAATGACAACTATACAGATAATAATGTCTAATTAAGGAAGACAAAAATTTTAAATAACTGCTAACAGATAATTTTTATCATGAAAAAATAATCTCACATTGAAAACTTAAAAAAAACTGCTGCTGTAATCTTATCACCAGTGACTGCTAGTTTACAAAGAAATTAATTAGCCTTAACGAAGTAGAATTATTTTCCAATAAGCAGATTTAATATCAACAATTATTTTAATTTACTTAAAATAAAGAATCATAAATAAAATTTGAAAAGAAACAAAACAAAAAAGCAGAATTGAAAATTTGTTAAATGAAATCATAAGACAATAATTCTAAATTGTTAGTAAAAACATGCTATTTTATTGTTAGGTATTTTGTAAAATTTAATTCTCATCACCTTAGGCAATTGCTAAATCTTATTTCAAATCACTTAAATGTATTTAAGTTGCTTCATGCAATGGTGATTCTTAAACTAGTTGCTTGCAGATCAGTCAACAAAATCAATTGTTGAAAGATAAAAATTATAAGTCACATGATCAAAAGACAAGAGATTTTATTAAAATGATACCTGTATACATCAATATACTTTTGCTGCATTCCATCAATTTATATATATATATATATATATATATATATATATAAAATACATTTCAACTCAAATAAATAACTATAAGGAAAAAAAATTAGAGGGATAACACATTTTACATACATACATACATACATACACACACTGAATAATTGATATATAATTGATTTACCCACTTTAAAACACAATGGGAAAATCCATCTGATTTTTTTTTTTTTAAAAAAAAGTAAAATTGAAATAATCAGATTCAACTAATATTTTGTCAGACCTCACTCCATAAATTATTTCTGATCATACACACATCAAGCATTTTTACACACATTCACACAAATATACAACAGGTTGAAAGCCAAAAAACTGGATGAATCCAAGAAAGAAAATACTGGCCTGTGCACAGGTTTAATGAAAGAGCCTGCTTGAGCCCGTGCACTGAAAACAAAATGATTGTTGAAATCACATCAAACCCATACCTAGAATCTCACATTCGCAACTCTGCAATATAAATATATGGTTAAATATACACATAATTATATCTCTACACACCTTTTGCCAAATAAGCAGTAAATATCCACACCTACACTTAATATCGCCTCAATCCCATGTCAAAATCTATCGCAGATTATTTCTGGGGATCGGAATTAAACTACACTGTGCCTTAATTTATTATTTTTCCATTACAGACAAACTATGTAAAGTGCAGACATAAGTGCGCTGTGCAATGATGTGTTAATTTTGCAACATGAATACCTGAATGCGGGATGGGGATAAGGTTGGTGAGGGAACAATGCTGGATAAGAGTAGGCAGCATCCAGTCCAAAAGGAGATGGCAGCATCGGCCGGATGTCTTCTTCTGGCCTGTAAGGCTGGAACCCTCGTGGTGGCAAGTCATCTCGGCCATGAGTGGAGGAAGATGACAATGCCGAAGAAGCTGTTCTGAAACACAAATACGCGGCACTAAGTATAATTCGCAAAGTTGGCAACAGACAAAAACAGGGTGTTCATTTTTTTTTTTTGTTCTTTCTGTGAAAATTTAAGATAAACATTCTTCAAAATAATATTCAACTATTTGTCCATCCCACACAAAAAACAAAAAACTAACGAAATATATATTTTTTTTGTCAGTTTGAAGTAAATGTTGTATTAAAATGTTTGAAATTTAAAATCTATTTTTTTTTTGTAATTTTAGTCATTGGCAAGGTGTGAACTCAATAATTTATAAGGAAAGTAACATCTTCATAAAATGCAAAATATTCTTTTAACTTCCTAGAAACTAAAAAAAAAAAAAAGACAGCATAAGTATTTTATGCTCCACAGAAATGGGGTGTGGAAAAGTAAAAAAAAATTTTGTTTCTAATAAAGTGTATCGTAACACTGTTAAAAATCTGTTAAAACTTGAGCACTATAATAGGGTGAGGCCGCAAAAATCTGTGGTAATAGTGATATCACAAGCTACTGTTTAATAATTTTTTAAAAACCAGGTAGGACATAAGAGAAGCAGGATAGAAAGATAGAGATAGCATAAAATAGTCACCTGTGAGATGGCTGTATAATGCACTCTTTACTGTTGTCGCCATCTCGTGACTGTGATGATAAAGGGCGATGATCTCTCTCCTGTTTAATACTCAATGGGTCATACAAAGAGGAAGAGGAGCTCTGGACAGAGTGGGTGCGCTCCAAGTTCTAAAAGCAGATTTGTTAATTTAGAGACAAATATTTATATGCTGCACAGGAATTTATTTATATAGGAAGCAACAAACATTAAAAAAAAACATAATATTATGGTATACAAAACTTTTTTCTTTTTAAATTTAATGAAATGACAACTATGAAATAAAATTGACATTTAACACTAAAACCAGACACATCAGTAGAAATAATGGAAACATATTTTGTAAAAAATAAAATAAAAAAATCAATAAAAATAAAATAAATATTTGAAAAACTTACTGATACAATGTATAGCCATAACTTTCATGCACATTATTAGCTACCTTAAAATTTAAATTTTTGCAATTTAAATAAGATTAAAGAAAATAAAAATTAACCAGAAATTAAAAATATTAAAGATTACATTATCACAAGTTTGAAAATAATAATCAAAGATATGAACTGAGTTTTTTGGGTTTTTTTAGCATATCAGATTTTATAAAGGCAAGCAGAATTTTTTTACATTTATTTATGATATTAACAATTAACATTAACCTTTTACTGCCACTTGAAAATCAATAATGCAGTCTTATAATTACAAACTTTTGTCTGTCAGGCTGAGAAATTAAAATTTCACAAATGCTTTAAAACATTTTATCAACACAATAACATTTAAGGGCTGAAAACAAATTTAAACTAATAAAGCATAGCCAGATTAAAAAAAATGCTTATGATTAAACAGAGTTGCTTTTATGTATACACCATTATTCAAGCAAAATGTTCCTAAAATGAAATAATTATCTATATTAATTAAATTGTAAAAAATCATGAAACAATTTAAATAATTTCTACTATTCATTGTTTTATTGCCAAATTATATTTCAGTTAACATGAATCAAATAAACTGGTTTATGCATAACATTTGCAAAATGAGAAATCAAACAATTTATGAAGCTGAAATTGAGACTTGTTTATTTTTAATTACAATATGTTAAAATAATCCATATTATTCCGGTGTTCCTTGAATAAAAGTTTTGAGGCATTAATTCAGATCAGATAAATCTGAAAGTAATATGTAGAATTACTTTATAAACTTTCAAAAATTGTTTATCATTAATTTATGAAATGATTATGTAACCTCATAGGAATATTACGTTAAAAAATTTCCTTTTCAATAAATTGCATGTAAAAATAAATCTGTAATAAGTTTTTTGTCTGTATGATTTGTAAATTACAAAGGATGGACAAAATTGTGGAGGTCTTCACTCAAGTAAAAATGCATTCACAAGTTAAATGATTACCTAGAATTTCTCATTGATTCACCAATTTCAGAAAAAGAAAAATCAAAAAACAAATCAGAAGCAATAATACCATAAAAAGAAAAGTATTAAAGTTGAAAGATGGGGCTACATTGTGCTTGTGAGTGAGATGAGGGTAACTGAAAAAAGAGATTGGAAGCACTGATAAAAATTCCTTAATATCCAGTAACAGATTTATTGCTACCAAGAAAAAATATTTTGTTATATTTTAGAGAAAGTTTCTTTTGTTAGGGAAAATGTTGGAATAAGGACAGTTATGTCTTATGAAGCATGTAATTTTTAAATTTGCAAATACCAAAACATAAATCTTTATTCAGCTAAAAAGCATAATTATTCATTTGGGATGTAAATGATATTTCAATATATTAATATTTTCAAGAAGCATACAAAAATTTTAATTTGTTGTTTTTTATAGAGTCAAAAAAAAATGAATATGTTTCTTATTTACCCTGGTATTTTTTATAATTCATTAATGCTGCTTATAGCAATATAGTAGGTCTCTGAAGTAAAAAGGTTTTCATTACTTAAAATAAGTCCAAGTTAATAATAATCCATACAACTTACTAAACAAATTATCCAATAGTTTTTTCCACCCTTATATTTTATTTTGTTCAGAACATCACAAGTTAACTTATTTATATAAAAAATAACTTTCAGTCTTGGGTTGAATCAAGAATAATTGGCTGGCCAGTTACTTTTTTTGAGTAAGAACAAGTTTTACACTTGACAACACCAAGATAACATTTTAGCAGTTTCAGAGCTAAATATAGAGTATTTATGACTGTTATAAAGTGGAGAAAATATCTCAATTAATATCAGGGATTTTAGCTATGTAAATGAAAAAGTCACTCTGATAGCAATGTCTCCTATTGTATTATGCTGACTTAATAACAGAGGCAGATGTTAGTAGTATGGTTGTAGAAGTGGAATCTTTAAGAGCCAATAACCTCTAGTTTTTCTTTGCCTTGTTACAAATAGTAGTCAAGAGACAGTTTGGCCAAATGGAGTCTGACATGAAAGTACAAACAAGGCTGTGGTATGTTATTGCAAAAAAAAAAAAAAACTGCATCTATTGACTTGCATCAATGCTTGCTGAACATTTACAGACCCGACCAATGGAAGTAAGCACAGTCAGGAAGTAATTGATTTGTTCCAGCAATGGCAACAGTCATGTGTGATAAGACACATTCTAAGAATTGCATGAATGAAACTGGTTTATCACTGGCAAAAATGCATAGTCAATGGTGGCATGTAGGCAATGTGGGAAGCAGCCATATCCTGGAACACACACGGCAACCCTGTCAATCCAGGGCCTGAGCATTGCCTAATGCCTCAATATAGACAGTGGCATTGACTCTGAGGCTCAGCAGTAAGTAGTAAGATGGCATGACACAAATCTTATTGCTCTTGAACCCCCAAGACTATCTCATAGTTGACGTGAACCTGGTGTGCATCACCATGGATACTTCTGTAGGCTTCACACAGAGCAATCTGTCATTTCTCCTGTCCACTTTCAAGATGCTGACTATCACTGAGTCACTGTGGTTGGCACAGTGTTTCCTGTCTCATATTTGAAACTGTCATGTTAATGTTCTTGATATGTCAGAAAGAGAAATGAGAATGTTAAAATTAGGCATATGCTGTGTGACATTACATTATCTTTTACTTATGGCTCACTGAAGATGTTCTCAAACACCTGGCCCACCGTCTGTGTGTGTGCGTGCATGTGTACATTTTTATGCAACAGTATTTATGTTTCAATGATGGCATCTGGCAAATTATGAATGCTTATCCTGTATTTAGGGATTATTTTTATCAGCTTTATACACTATATACATAAGTAATGCTTTTAATCAAGAATGTTTTTGTTTTTTAAACAAGAAACATTTTCAGGATTCCTGATTATATATTTTCAATTTATAAAACAAAAAACCCTACTCAAAAATGAAATGCTAAGTGGGGGAAAATCAAATAGGTTAATCAAATAACGGTAGTAATTAGAGAATATTAGGAAATGTTTTACATTGAAACTTAACACTGCATCAGATTTTAATATACAGAAATACTACCCACATAATGGTAAGACATTAGTGGCAATGGTATCTTTATCGAGCTAATGTCTTACCATTATATGGGAGGTATTTCTGTTGCACCATGAACAAGTCAATGTTTTCATTATAAAATTAGTATTAATTAACCAATGATGGTAATGTTTTCAGGATATACTTAGATTTTCATGATAAATACACTATATGAATTTCAGTTGAACATATCCATTTCTATTAAAAATATTTATAACAACAGATTTGGTAGTGTGAAATTTTATTATGCAACTCAATAGTTATTCATATTGTAAATATATAATCATATAGTAAATGACATTCATTTTTTTAAATTCAGATAAAGATTGACATGAAAAATGAAACTTTAAAAGAGAAACATGAAGTTATTGAGTAATGAGAACAAAACACTAGAAGAATCAAAGAAACTGAAAATATTGGCAAAAACCAAAAGCATAGCTTTAAGAATGTCAGAAATATTTGAGAAATATGAAAAGAGTAATAAGCAAGAAAAATAGCTTGGCCAACAAGAAAATATTTGAAGAAAAGAGAACACCAAGAACATTGGCCAAGGACATGAAAACAACTAAATCACAACCTTTAAAAAGCATCAAAACAAGAAACATGTAAGTTGGGAAAACTAGTACATGAGAACTGATTTTTCAGCAGTCATTTTTTAAAATAATTATTGAAAGACCTAATGGTTGAACTAGAGACAAGACCTTTCATAGAAACAGTGAGCCAAAATATTAGGGGTGAGAGGATCTACGTTTGGCTGGTTATGTAGGCAGTAAAATTATAGGTTCTTTTCAAAATTGATGATGGTGTCAAAATAAATGCAGGGAATTATTTTAGGATTTTGAACAAAACATTTCTTGAGTGGTACAAAAAGGTTTAAACTAAATAGTATATTTATGCAAGACTATGCTTCATTACATTTTGCAAAGCTGACTATTGCCCACCTTGCCAATAAAGGTTTCTTAAACATTAAATTAATGGAACAAATCCCCAGTCTTTCCAGATATTAATCCAATGGAAAATATGTGATCTATTATTAAGATGTATAGGAAATGAAAAACAATATCCAAACAAAAATGATCTCTAGGAAGCAATAAAAATCCCAACTAATGTTAAAGTGAAAACAGTAGAAAAGTTAATAAAATCAATGGGTAAAAAATATGGTAACGGGTATAGAATATCAAGGAGCCCATATTAATATGTAAAGTAATAATTTATTCAGCCATAAGGAATATTGTGTTAATCAAATATGCATTTCTAAGACCTATGTGTTTTGGATTTATTTATGAATAAAAATTTAATTTTGCATTACAAAACCAGACACCACAAAAACAAGTTATCAATATTTTAATAAGGATACGTATTATAAACTGAAACTCATACAACATATTGCTCATGTAAATATATCTAGAAACTTTTATCAACATGAGTTGGTTAATACCAATGAAAATATTGACTGTTATAATAAAATCTGACAGTGTATTCTTATTCTTAACAAAAAAAAGCCTTATTTTTCAATGGACTTTCATAACATTTTAGTGTCAATCACTAATTTGCATAAAAAAATGCTAAATTGTATTAGTAATATATTAGCTCCATATAATCACCTGAGAATAGCACTTGGAGAAAAATAAGATTTTAGACACGGTCATCTGTTGTGGTCACTGTATTCCTTTTCATATTAACAAGTAGTGTTTTGTCACATTTTCTCAAGTTGAAGACAAGATGAGTATCTTACAAATTCTCCAATCTTAAAGTTTGTTATTGCAAAATTACAGCTTTCAGATTCAGTATCCAATAATTAACAATTTTTGACACAGGATAAATTGTACTAAAAATTTCAAAATCAAATCCTAAGTATTTTCATGATACAATTCACTAGTAATACATATTGCAGTGGTGTATACAAAATGGAAAACACTTAATAGAGAGAAAAAAAAGATATGTTATTTATGGTGATAATCCTTTCATGACTAATAGAATAGTACAACCAATAATATCAATGTTCTAAAATTCTAATTTCATTTTAATATTGAAGATAGCTGAGAAATGTTCAATATTAATGTCATATTTCCACATTTTTCAAATAAATCCCCCACAACCACAATATATGTAAAGCTTTAATAGTATAAATTTCATATAAAAATTCAAACACTTAATTACTCATAAATTTTGGAAATTGCTGTTCTAAATTTCTTAAGAAAAATATTTTGACAAACTTCAATCATGAGTACCATAAACATGTTTTTAATCATTTTTCTAACACTAAATCTCTATTATTTGCCTTTCTATTTAGACTAATATATGCATTTCAATGTTTTGTCTATCATATTCAGTAATCCTCTCAAAACTTTGAACTAACCCCTTTATTGAATCCATAGTGACAGTTTGGACAAGACACACATGACCTAGTGAATTAAAATGTTAGTTAAAAATATCAATGGTTCGATGGCAGTTGTGAATTCAATCATCACAAGTCAATTGAGAAATAGACACTTGAAGAAGGCTGGTGGGTACAATGACTGAAATGTTGTAAGTATAAAAACCAACATGAGCATATTAGTCCAAATAGAAAGACAAATAATAATGATAATCATTAGTGTATACAGGCAAGTTAAAAATGCATGTTATTTCTCAGAGTATGTTGAAAATAACTGGTTGAAAAAAAGCTTGTTATGCATAGAATATCAGGTAATATGGTGCTATTAATAAATGTATTTCAATGGAGCTCAAGCTGTGTGTGCATACACATATTATACATCTATATAAATAGTACTTATATATTTCTTGTTTGTAACTTTCTGTGGTGTAAAAACACAAGTGAATCCTGCCAGATTCTAATGTTCAACCTAGAAGTAATCAGCCAAGTGATATATCTACTACAACAATATTCTTCTACTTGAGAAAATTTACACTGATCCTAAGAGGAGTGCTGATCCACATCTAATGTATCTGTCATTTTTGACAGGTACTAGCTATATTTATATATTTAAAAACATGTGAGAACCAAATAAGAGTAATGACTTAACAAAATACACCATCATTTGAGAAACCATGTTTAACATAACACACACACACTATATATATATATATATATATATATATATATATATATATATATATATGTGTGTGTATGTATGTATATATGTTTGTGTGTGCGTGAGTGCAATTGAGTCACATATAAATATTGCAAATAAATTCCATAATTTATACTCTATAGATATAATTGCTCGAGTGTAATAGCGTATTATATACAGATACAAAAATAATTTTTACTATATAACAAAAAAGAAACAGTGAGCATGGCTAGTAAGAAATTAAGTGACTGATGTAACTTATTTTAAGCACACTGTAATATGCTTCATTTCAAGCCAAAAGAGATTTGAGTAAGGTATTAATGTATTTTCCTCATAGAAGTAGTCAGCAAATGAAATAACCTGTAAAAAGAGTTGTATCTGTCATTAGACATTTCATAAAGAGATACAGGCACAATAAGCAAGCATATCGACTCAGTGTTTAATACCTTAGATCACCAAATAATTGTATCTAATATGACCCAACAGCATATTAAAATATGTAGGAAGCAGGTAGCAGAAGAATGTCTCATGTTTCATGGCAAGTCAATAACCAGAACTAGAAAAACCTATATTGCCACTTATAATAAAACGACTATTAACAAAAACAGATAAGTTTGACAATTTAAGACAGAAATCAAAAACTTACGGCCAAAGTGAAGATTTATTAATTTTTTAAAAAGCCCATTAATTAGATTCTAAACATTTTAAACAGATTCTGCTACATAAAAAGGAATAGGTATATACTTATTCTCAGAAATATTTATGCACACCAACCAAATTCTTTTATAAAATAGCAATTCTACAAAAGATTCAATTTATAAAGATAAAAGTTGATAAAATTGAGAACATACAAAAAAAAAAAAAAATGACAGGCCAAAATAACTTCAGTTATAACTCAAATGTTGGTCATAATTATTGAAACTATGTTAAACAGATAAATTTATCTAAAATTACTAATCAAATCTTTATCAGACAAAGGAATAATTTCAAGTTTTTGTTATCACTATAATCCTATTTAAACAGACAAAGAACTGTACCAAATAACAGGATCCACATCACTTGAGGACTTTCAACAACAGTAACAACTAAAATGGGTAGCACATGTTGCTCAAAGAGAAAACAATGACACAATGAAGATGTTGACATTCCACACTAGTTCAAACAAAAGATTATGAAGAAAGTCCCTATAAATACTAGAAAGAGCTATAAAAATGAACTTGAGAAACTTATTTTCATAAAAAATTGTCTTAAGCAAAAGTTTTTCATAACTTTCAACTCAAAGACATACTGAATAGTCAATGAATGCTAAATGTTTCCTTATAAGGAAACAGCTCATAATACTATGTTTCAGTTTGGAATCCAGTGGATTTGGTTTCAACCTCAGAACTAGTTTTAAAGGCCAACAGCTGGTGTGTATGCATATGTGTCTAAAGTTGGACTATCTCTTGTATCAATAAAAAGACTTGGAATAGATAAGTTCTAGTCTAACAAGTAACAATAAATAGAATAGATTATATTGCAACTAGAGACCATCTGTTGGAAGGTGGGGTCCTAAAGGTGATACAGCCCAGTGAACTTAAATCTATATCTGACCACATTATGTCAGTTGGCCTACAATCAAGTGACAAAAAGCCTTACTGTGAGGTCACAGCTGGTAGGAAAAAGGAAATATAAAATCAGTAATCATAAAACTGAGTTGCACTAGGTTTCCGAGTTAATAGGCCAAAATAGTAATTTTGCTGTACAAGCAATTCTAAACAAAAACAGTGAGATTAAAATAGTATATCCAAAGCCTTTTGTTATATTACCAACTAATTGCTTTAGCAGTCATGCTAGATGGTTTAGATTTAAAAATGAAAACTATTTCTCCGAACTTCCTAGTTATTGATGACAACCTGAGAGCAAATCAAAAAATGATTTGTTACCTTTGACAGAGAAAAATATATTCTGAACTGAATTATCAAAAAGTAATCTGTTAGTTGTTTGGTAAGGGCGAATACAGTGAATTATAAATAAATACACTTCACTTCCTATTTTGAAAATAAATATAACTTCCTATTCCTTTTATACTAATAGAACTTTCTTCTTAATGCATTCTTATATAAAGATCTTACAATTTTTTTAAATAAAAGGATGTGTTCCAGACTGTAGTATCAGATTGTTATTTTGAGCCTTTACTAACAATGAAACAAAATTTACAAGCATTATCAGTTCTGTAATGTCATTTGTTATCTTCTGTTTTCTTAATTCTTGTTCTTTTATTGTTCTCTCTCCTTAACACTCAGTAACCCCTTGTGTCTTAGTGGCTTCATTGCCTTGCTAAGGGTGAAATGATTAAATAAATAAATAAAAATTAGTATATTGTTATTCATTTAGTGCAAAAGATTTTCTACAGAAGTCTATAAACAAGATACAAAAATATTTTTTTCAGAATCAAATTTATTTGCAAAGTATCCTTATAAATGCAAAAATAGTTTCAATTTAATGATTTCCTAGTAAAAAAAAAATATTCAAATATATTCTGAAAAAATGTTTTTAAAGCATTAAGGAAAAATCTTATAAGCCAAAGCAATTTATTCTTGTAAACCAGGTAATATTTTTTCTGTGTTTAATATTCAGTAGAATTGGCATTAATCTTCAAAAAGATTACCATAGATTAGATTACACATAGATTATGTAATATACCTTACAAGGGCATTCAATTTGCAGGATCACAGCTTTTGTTAAAGCTTTACCTTTAAACATTAACTGATAAGCAAATGCATGTATATGTAATCTTTACCATTTTTCTGACTGATATTTTTAGAATTTCTTTAGTGAAATAAGATTTATGTAATTTTCTATTTATCTTATTAACAGAAGTCAAAGAATTTTAGCCAATCAGTTTTACTTGAATGATTTGTCTAGAAAAAGATTTAATTCACCAACATAAGAAATGATTTGAGAGCTAAAAAACAAGTAAATAAAATGCTATCTCTTAAAAAAAAAAATGAATACAAAATATATGCCAATTATCAACAAATTTGTTTTAGTTTTCAACTAATTAGAAACCTGTTGATGTCTAAATACTTCAGTGATTCTAGGCAAGCCTATAGAAAAGCTTATATGCCTCATTAACTCAGTTCATAGAAATTATTATATCAAACACTTATGAGTAATTTATGAAAACCCACACACACACAATATGTGTGTATTTATTTAACTCACCTGAGAATGTGCCTCTGAATGTAAGTGTGTAGGATGTGCTTGGGTGGGGGCTATGGTCACCACAGGAGGAGAAGTCAAATATGATGATGATGATGACTGGCTTGAGTAGACCAATGGAGGAGGACCACGCTTTGGGGTGGATGCTCGTGGACTTACACTTGTAGTAGAGGGAGGAACAGCTTTTACATTGGGTCCATCTTCTGCAAAAAGGACATATTCTTCATTAGCCAAAGGTATGAGTAATTTTAATAAACAATTATGCACCAAAAATATTTTGCTAACAAAATTTGAAGTACATCATCAATGAAAAAGTTTTACAAGAATACAAAATTGTATTCAGTTGTTTTAAATAATTGGTTGTGCATAAAATTGCTTGCATTTGAATTAATAAAAAAATGAAAAGCAGCACTGTGTTTGCAGCCAGCACTCAATGACATCATAGCTTTTATATACTAATCATTGTACTTAGAGAAATGGCAATTCCAATATGCATATATTTCCTATTTTTTTTTCAATTAATCCAAAGTTTTCAAACATTTTGTTATCTTTATAATTTCAATAATGTGTATTTATATATGCATGAGACAAGTAAACAAGGAGAAAAATAAAATAACTAGGTGTAACTTTTTTTTTACTGCCCCATGTAAACTGATATGAAAGAGCACACCACTTGTATCAATTTGCATCTAAAGCAGTCTTTACTATAATAACTAAAAAAGTGAATTACTTTTTGATCACTCTTGATTCAAAATTTATTTTGAAATTTTTATTTACAAAATCTACTGTATACAAAATCTTACAATTGAAGTATTCCAATTTGTCTGCTAGGTTTTATTAGGAATTACAGGTATAAGATATAAAATGTCTGTGATTTTCAGTACCTGCAGCATATTAACAAAATATACAAGAGACTGACAACAATATCAAACTAAAATAAATACTACAGATATGTTCAATAAACTAAGAACATTATTTTTGCTACCCAATCTATCATTTTTATGATATTGTTTCACATAACTGTTTATAGAAAATCTTTGCTGTCATAAGTCAGGAATAATTTCAGAAAAGCAGAGAGGTGCCATGTCATATTTCCAACAAAAACCACACATACATATAATTGTTTAAACTGTTAAAATTATATTAAAAAGAAAAAAAAATGAAAACTTTAATCTTCTAAGTTATTTTGTGTCATCTTTATTAGTTGATCAAATCATAAAGAATTCTAAATAGGCAAAAATTTATAGCCTCAACTCAAAGAACAATAGAATTTGGTACAACAAATGAAATTTCTGATAAAAATGAATTATAAATAATAACAATCAATCTCACAAAGATGTTCACTTGAAAAATATCAAAAAGAAAAACATGTTCACTGTATTCACTTGGTGAATATCAATAATGATTCAGTATTAGTAATCATAAATTGTATTCATTTTTATATTCAAGGATTAATGTAACAAATGAATAATGGGCATTTTGTAGCTTAAAAACACTTAATCCTCCTTAATATTATTAAATGTATCATTAAGATAAAATGATATTTGCAATAAAAATAAACAAAGACAACTTATATTGAGAACACTTCAATTCCCACCCCCAAATAAAATTGAAATTTTGGATAAGCAAATGTTAAAATAAAATGTTTACAGATATGTTTACAGAGAAATTTCAATAAAAATATGAAAAATTAGGAATATTTGGATAATAAGCATTTGATATTATATTCTGTTTTTAATTTTCTTTATTAATGTTAAAAAAGGATGATGTTTAAATAACAGTGATTCCCTAATTTTAATCAACTTGCATTTTTAAAAACATAATAAGTCTTAATTAATCAATGTCAATAAAGATTATATCAAAAATATAAATGCAGATTGCTTCAATTTATAAAAACTATTTTAATATTCAAATTTTGTTTTCTAAATAAAATCATTTTTTTAATATCTGGGGAAAGAGGCCAACCTATAAAGTTTAAATTTCTAAAATAAACATTTAACAATGATTTTTTTTTTCATTTATTTTGTGTGAGAGTGAGAGCACCCAATGGCACCAGACATAATACATAGCAACATTTCCAGTAATACTTGACAAGAAATGTTTGCAAATCATTGCAATCTGGAGAAAAGTAGATATCTTATTCTTAGCAATTTTAAAGAAGCTAATTTAATGATTCTAATGAAAATGATTAAATAGAAACTAACATTTGTTTGTATAGCAATTCAGTGAAAGAACAGAATCACAATTTTTTAAACTTTTAGCAATTAAATAGAAAAAAGTTTTTTTTTTAAAGACAGATTTGTCATAATACATGGGTATTATTTATGCATATGACAGAATTAGTCTTTAATTATTAACAAAAAAATATTTGTTTAAAAATATCAAGACTGCTAGAGTAAATAAGAGACTAATAATGTGCCAATCTTTTTAAATAAAGTAATCGTCATAAATCATAAGAAAAAAAAGGACTTAAACCAAACATTTTATTTTATGAAGTTTTGGTTTTCTTTCAAATGGTGACCATTCAATCTAAATAAAACCGACTTCTAAATATGGCATCATAAATGAAATTTGCATTCAATATTTTTCTTGCATTTAAGTGATTCTATAATTTTAAATATGCTAGTATAACATTTCTAAATGGAAAGTTATTAATTTCAATAAGGAATGAATGAACTTAAGCTGGTTTTCTAATTGGATAAATAATTATTGTATGTGATTATTCAAAACAATACAATTGCAGCAGAATGGTCAGTATTGAGTGCAGTGGGTTTTGAAGATATAAATTTAGAATGATCTAAATATTTCCTGGTACTTTTTGGATTTCATTCAAAGATTAAAACATTAATTCATTCTATAGATAAATGACAGTTTATACATATTATAATAAAAATACATAACAGTTAAAATATAATAAATCAAGACAACGAGTAAGGAATGTTCTCCTGAGATTCAAAACCTGGAAGAGAATCAATTATAATAAATGAATCTTGACAAGTTGCTTTTTTCCTGAAAAGTATAAAATAAATAAATAAATAAATAAATAAAAATAACAGAATACTTTGTTAATGGCATGCTTTTCATACAACATCCAAGAAGTGGACATGGATACCTTTTCTTTGGACAAAATGATTGAATAAGGATGCAGAACTTAAATGTGCTGCTGTTTGGCTGCACATTAACAAGATGCAAATACCTTGAAGAATCTTTTTTTGTCAACTGCACAGTATGCATTATAGAGAAAATATAAATGGTGCAAAGATTGAAGTCATTAAAAATGTTTTTCTTAAAGAATGGATTCTTAAAGTTTAATGCTTGGCAATAATGAGATAACTGGACACAACAATCTCTTCTGGACTATCTTGCTTCATTATTCAATAATCACATCAAATTGAATTCTTTAAAAAACAAGAACATCTCTGGAATAGAAACTGTCTTAGTTTCTCTGTTCTTTTTTTTTCCTTTTGTACAAATAATCACAAGGAAAAAAAAACAATTATGAAATGAAATAGTGACTATTACTGCAGTAGTGATACCATGAAAGAAGAAAAATGTTAGTAGCAGTTGGAATTGTGCAAGCTGTAATAATAATAATGATGATGGCAATGATAACAGTGAAACAAGAGGACAAGTGAAAAAATAGAATTTCAGGTGATTAAGTGACAATTGTTGAAAATGGTGTTTTTTGGTGCTGGATGTAGAACTGTGGTGCTGGCTGGCAGGCAGGCAGGAACACATGGCAATAACAAGAACAGCATGGGCTGAGGACATGCACAGAGAGTAAGAACAGGAGGTGGAGGAGGACAAACAGGAGGAGGAGGAGAGCAATTACCTGGCTCTTTGGCCTGATTGGCCAGTTTCCTGAGTGCAGCTGCAAAGCTAGATGTGCGTGTGGCATTCAATGCCGCATTGCCACTCATAGCGGTCACACTGTTGCTAGGCGATGACACCTGGCTGAGGGGCTGCACTGTCGCCGTGTTACGGGTCACCTTGGATGCCCCTGAGTTGACCATGGTGAGGGGTGGGGGTTTGGCACCCTGGGGGAGTCCTGAAAAGAAATCAGTCACAATCATAGGACAGCCTTGGTGGCATGAACACGGCAGCAGCAGACCTCTGGCCTCTTAAGAACATAGTGATGGACTGAGAGGACAGCTGCTTGCAACAAGTCAGGCCAAATTTCATAATAAACAATATTCGACTGGATAGAACAAGGTTCCAAAGTTGCAAATGTTTGCAATGGTCAGTATGATTGACTGTTCTTTTATTTTTAGCATTGGTGTAAGTGTTTTCTTATTGATATTTTATTTATTTTTTTGATTACTGACAGATTTTATAAAAGATATATCTATATGATAGATACCACATATTAAGCAGTGTGCAAATTAAGATCATAATCTCTTGCAAATTTCAAGGTATAACTTTTTTTTTTTTATAACAAAAGTCACACACCATGAATTTCATCTAAGAAAAGGAATACAAGATGCTGAAAAGTTCTCAGCTCAACCCATTTTCCAAAAATAGTATTCTGATGTTTGGTCATTAAAATACTGATTATGGAAAGAGAATTGAGACATGAATTTTCAGAACCATCTCATAATGAAGTGAAACCAATAATTGCACAAAGTAAGCCATAGTGACAAGACTCAAAAGTTACAATAATTCTCTAATATTCAGCAGGTGAAAATTATTAAGTAACTAAAAGTTTAACAATTATTAATCTTTCATCAGGTAAAACATTTAAATGAGAGTAAGTGAAGGACAATACTTTCTCTTGATTGGCATGATTTGTCTTGCTCCCGAGATATTGAAAATTGGAGAAATATTATAATGAAAGTGAATAATAAAAGTTCAATGTTGACATATGGTCAATATTAATTGTAATGAGACTCTTTTGAACTGTATTACTTCTATTTGTTATTAAATTCTCATGAATTGCAATAAGTTTGCTTCATGAAAAAATAAAATATTTAAAGTTATATGATGCGCTCACACAAACACTGCTTTTATGATTTTATGCAAGAAAAGAAATCTGATTACGTAACATCCTTTTACTTATTACTATATATGTTATTTAGTGAGTACATGTTTAAGCAGAGACCTGTTTATTTACAAAATCTTCCTAAATGCAAATTAAAAATATTTTAGAACAAGATTTAAATGAAAAATATTAATTTCATTATTTTTTAACATAAGCTAATTTATACAAATTCTGTAATAAACAAAATGGTGTGTGACTTTCTAGTTCCCTCATTTATACAAAAAATTAATTCTTTTTTTAAATTAATGACAAATTAAAACAAAAAAGAAAGAAAGCAAGAGCAAAATTGCAGGTAATTTTATTTTATTTTGGAATAATTGAAAAAATTACATCCAAGTACATAAATACAAAGAAAATGAAAATGAAAACAAAGGAACAAACAATAACAACTAGCGTGACTAGTTGAATATAAAAGAGTGTACTGATCCCAGAAAGATATGCTACAATTAATCTAAGATGATTAAGAATTTCTGATATAAAGTTAAAACTAAAAATCCAAGTGGACCAGAAATTAAAGAATGAGAAAAAAATAATCACTTAAAACTATCAGAATCAAGAAACATAAAAGAATACAATAAACATATGATATACAACATACCATCATATTTCCAATGAAGAACTTAAATGAAACTTTTGGGGGAATGTATTAGATACAAATGAAAAGAGAGCAGCTCTAAGATAAAGATATGTGGGCTTATATTTCTGGAATACTCAGTTTTATACCAACTGAACTTAAGGATTTAAGTAAACATTAATGTACCATGTATCTTTATAAATATATCATTTTTCATAAACTTTACTAGGTTTAAAGGCATTTGTTGAGATTGAGATTGGATGTTCTAATATAGATAAATATATATACTGATTTCAACCAAACAATGATCAACACACTGTTAATATAATGAGAACCTGAATAAGTGCAAATCACTGGTAAAAAAATATAGACACAGTGACATGCTGTTTTTCAAAGTTATTACATTTTAGTTTTGTCTTTTACTGAACACTGACAAAACCTTCATGTTAAAACTTTCTGAAGTTCCTAAATTCAAAAAAAAATACATATGTCATACAAAATAGCTAAAACTAGTTTGGGTAGTCTTAAGTGAAAGCATATAATATGGAATCAATTCTGTTCCTCAGGGACACTAATTATAAACTTGGCTATGAATTTTATGAGTTTTTCTTTTAAATGTATCCTATTCAATAATATTTTTGAAAATAATTGAAATTCAAGTTAACAAAAAATTCTGCAAATGATAATGTCACAATTTGTAATATAATAGTTGTTGATGCATTAAAATTTCATCCTATTTTTTAAAGGTTTGATTTCAATAGTACACAGACTTTTAGATTTTTGTGCTTTTTCAATAAAAACTTGATAGAAAAAGAATGCATTCTTTAGAATTTAACTACGGTTCTACCCATAAAATAAATGTGGAGTAGAACAGGAAATAAATTTCTAATCCTGTAAATAATGCAGTATTAACTCCTTCCCCCCACTTGGACGAGATGTGACACAAGGTCTTTTTTTGGTGATGACCTGAGCATGTACACTCGGGACAAGGTCAAAAATTGCCTTCAGCCCCTGCAACCGTCAGTTGTGCTGGCCTTAGTGCGAGCACCGATCCCTCCCTCTGGTACAATGGGTGGGTGCGGCCTCGGGCAGCTGTTCCCCAGGGCTGGGCACCTCTCAGTATAATTTTCTCAGTTGCCCCTCTGTCCTTTGACAGAGAAGCCCCTGAGTGCACTGCCCAAAGACAGAGACACAACTGAGAGATGATAAGCCTGCGTTAAAATCCCTCCAAAGAGGAATCTGTACTAATCCTGTAACTAATGCTGTGTTTGAAGTTGTACCTTGTAAAAGTTGTTGCTATAATATTAGTTCATTTGAAAAGGTACATGTCATATTTGTTAATTAAAAACTTAAACTATTCTACAAGTATATATTAGTAAAATAATATATAAAAATCCAACAGTTAGTAGACACAAATGAATTAAAATAAGTTTAGAGTTTAAATATATGCATTATCAAGACATGCACTACAATGATTCATACTCTTAGATTAATCACTAATCTGCTAAAAAAAAAAAAAAAAAAAAAAAGGGGCATACCATGATGAAAAAAGGCCCCAAACTTAATAAAAACAGAGTTTTATCATCAAAATGTTTATATTATTATTAAGAGGAAAGACCAAAGTATTTTTTCATTATTCTAAAAAAAATTTTAATCCTTTCTAACACATTTGATATTTTGGTTAAAATTCTTGTTTTTTTATGTGTTAATGGTGTAACAGAGCAGGTTATGGAAATTTTAGCGCCTTTTTTCCAGTAAAATAACATTAATTTGGAAAACCCTGCAAAAATCAAATAATTGACGGATTTTAATGAAACTTTCAGGACTTATTCACAAATGAATGAATTTATTTTTGATATTATTATTTTTAGAAAATGTTGGTAAATTTTCTTTTTTTTTTTACATATGTTACCCCACTTACTTAATTTCATGAAATTTCTAGAAATTAAATTCCATCTACTAAATTTGTTATATTAGTTAAATACAGGACTCTTAGGAGAATATAAATTATTCATTTTAAACAGTCACTCAATTCCTGAAAATCTGTTCCAAATTGTAAAATAAAAACTGCATTAAAATTATGACATTATTTAATTAGGCAAGCTTTTAATTGCTTTTATAAATAATATATATTAAGGACACTATAGTCTGAAGAAGAAGAAAAAAATTTTTATTATAATTTATAAAGTTTCAAAAATCTTTTTAAAATTCTTCAAAACTGCCTCTTCATTAGGTTAAGTTATTAAGTGAAGGCTATATTTACAAAGTGAAAATTGAAAAGCTTAATGCAAATCATCACGCTCAAAGATTTTTAAAATAGTTTAAAAAATCTTTTTATGTGTATAATCGTTCCCATTTTGAAAGTATGGATGACCATACATGACATTATCCGATATCACATAATTTCAAAATATGATAGCAAATTTAAAGTCAATATTTCTAAAATTAAACTACAGTGAATATTTCCAACATTTTAAAGATTACTGAGTACTTAAAAATTATATATATATATATATATATATATATATATATATATATATATAAAAAACATTCATCCTTCATTTTCTTAAATTGTCTTAACAGATACAGTCTCCATAGAACATCAATAAACATAACACCTTGTAAAAAACTTGACAAGGGCTTCTGAAGCACTTGTCAAGTGATTTACAAGCATTGCCAAGCACTTAATCACCACTGTTTTAAAAATCCATTTGTTATTTTCAACTTAAATATTTTTTTCAAATCAGATACTTTAAATCCAATAAAGTTTCAGAAAAGAATATTTTTGGAAGAGTTTTTAATAAAGGAAAATTTATTGTGATGACAGATTGCTAAAAAAAAGGGGGTACTAATCGGCTTTAGCCAGAAAAATGAATTGACTCCAATCAATAGAATTTGTGTTTTGTTTATTGGAAATAGTAAATTTAATCCCTTAGCTTTTAATTAAAGCTAAAATGAAAGCTTCAAGAAATATATTTTTCTTTTATAGAAATTCATTTTAAACCTTAGGTATACTGAATTATTGGAGATACCTATCTTAAATGCACATATTTGTACTAAACAGGATACCCATGAAAAGAATATTCTACTAAATATGGCACAAGAATCTTGAAAGATTGTGGTTAATGAGGTTTGGTCAACTGTCCATCTTATTTTTAGCCTGTTATACTCATTACTCAAACAGAGAGGATTTTAACTACCAAAACAAAACACAATCAAAATTTACTCATGAATACTACAAACACTTACTAGAATCTAACAAGAAATTATACATTTTTATATGCCCCCCACACACACATCAAACACACACATACATACATTCATGAATAGAAAGAGAAAGAGACCTGAATGAGGCAAAAGAAAAGTTTGAACGAAAATATTCATGGAAAAAACATCAAGTTATTCTTGTCACAATTTTGCAAAAATTTCCTTCAAAAATCAAAGATCAGAATTGAATGTGA